GTAGTGGGGGATATATATATATATATATATATATATATATATATAAAACCTATTAATATCTTGGAAGGAAAAGAAGATAAAGTATCTGTACAAGAACTGGAAGCTGTATGAAGGAACATTCAAAGAAAGAGTGCTTGGAAATTAAAAATATGATGGCAGAAATAGAAAATTAAAAAGAATGATTAGAAATATTGGAAGATAAAGTTGAGTAAATATCCCATAAAGTAGAGCTAAAGGAATAAGAAATGGAAAAGAGAAAAGAAACGAGAGGATCAGGTCCAACACCGAAAAAAAAAGTTCCAGAGAGAGAAGGGATGTTGGGGGAATGGAGTGGAGATAGGGGACAGTTGTCAAATTGTTAATGTTTCTCATAACCAAAGGGAATGAATTTCTAGATTGAAAGGGTCCACTGAGTATCTAGCACCTCATAGTGAAATTTGAGAATACTAGGGCCAAAGAGAAGGTCCATCAAACTTACAGAGAGGATGGGAAAAAAAAGGTTAATACCAAACTTATCAACAGTAATTCTTAAACATTAAAAGGTGAAGCAAAAAACATTTTCAAGACTTTCAGGAAATGTGATATCTTAACCTAGAATTCTATACCCAGTCATACTATCAATTAAGTATAAAAGCAGAAAAAAGATATTTTCAAATATGTAAGGTCTCAAAAATTATGTCCAGTACACCCTTTTTTTCAGGAAGTTAATGGATGTCTTCAGCCAAGAGAGTAAATCAAATATGAAGATATCAGATGCAAAATGCAGAAAAACCAATATAAGAGAAAAGCAAAGAAAATCCCCAGAATGATGGTGAACAGATAACAGCAATGTATATAGCAGGCTTAAAGAGCCAGTTCAGACTGGAACTAGTCACAGAACTCTGGAAAAGATTGCTTCAAAAAATAGGAAGACCTGCTTTACGAAAGTCTGGCTTACGGATAACTTGTACTTGCCTTTTAATGTTATGTAAATCTGCCATCATTTTGAAATGATTGAACCAACTCCTACTTGCAACAGACTCTTTATCACAATTATTTAACTTGCTGCACGTACAGCTTTAAATCATTGAAAAGGCTTCGAGCCTTTTCTTGCACTAAAGTAAGGCTAAGTAAGAACTGTATGCACCTGTTCTGACTTACCTATAAATTCTTGAAGACACATTTAGGGACGGATCTCGTCCGTAACATGGGGACTGCCTGTGTTTCATTTCAAAAACAACTTATTGTGTTTGAACATATAGAAAGGAGATTTAAACAACTTAGGTAATTTGGAGTTAAATTAATAAAAAGCACATAGAAAATCAAGCAAATGAAAACTAATATAATTACTAACACCAGGGGAAAAATAAGTTTGTGCAGGAAGGGAAAATTAGTAAGTTTAAATTATATGGCTCACCTGTTAATAGTATTTTCAAGCATATTAAGGTAAATATAAATGAGTACTAAAATATAACCATATTGGTGGATGGAGGGACAGGAAAGTGATGGAACATGTGATGAGGATGGGGGTAAATGAAAGAGACAACTAAATTCTCATCTTTCAGTGTAGGAAGTCAATATATACTGCCAAAAACCAAAACAAAACTACAAGTAGCAATATAAGCATATTATTTAAAGATACAGGATAAATGTCAAAAGAATCACCTAAAAAATTAAAAATGAGTGCCTCTGAGGGCTAGGAAATAGAGGGTGGTGGAAACTGTCAAAGAATTCTATTTTTCATAACAAACCTGGTACAGCTATTTGATTCTAAATTATATTCATCTATAAAACTGATTTAAAAAATCAAAACTAAATTTTTTAAAATACAAGGCTCAATATCAAATTTTACACCTACATTTTGGGACTATATTTGTTCTATCACACACATGGATTATAGATCATATGTTATCTTCAAACACCCAGTTTTAAATTGTTATTCTATTTTGCTATTTTTTTTTTCTGTCCGATAGGTCCCTAGGTGGAACAAATAGTTAAGCACTTGGCTGCTAACCAGAAGGTTGGTGGTTCCACCCAGAGGGCCTTGGAAGAAAGGCCTGGCAGTCTACTTCCAAAAAGTCAGCCACTGAAAACCCTATGGAGCACAGCTCTACTTTGACACACATGGGGTCACCATAGTTGGAATCGACTCGATGGCAACTGGTGTTTGCTTTGTTTTTTTAACTGCTTTGAAGAATAGAATTCATATTTGTGTTGATTGTAAAATTTGTATTTTAAAGTTTGGTGATTTGAAGATATTTCCTATATTTTAAATGATTATTGTCATGTATTTGATGATATAACATGCTGGTATTTAAAATGTGTGTTTCTTTACTTAACTATACCTAAAAATAATTTTGATGGGCATGTACTTAAGATATAAGTTTGTGTTAATATTTAATTGTTAAAATTTTAAAATGCTGAGTACTACAGACTTGGTGGTTTTCAAACACTGATATTCAGACGAGTCCTGGAGGTTATTACTATATTGTGGTGAAATGAGATGAATGAACATAGTAGAGTCTGTTGTTTATGGAGTTAAATTTATTCCATTTAAGGATTTTATTCTTTGATTGTGTCCTTTCTGCTTTTTTGATATTTGAATAGTCTTCCTTTCGCAAATGATGTAACATAGATAGTAATTTTGTTTTGTTTTAAACATACTTTTGTGGCAAAATTAGTACAGTTTTTTTTTTTTTAAATATTACTGGTCTATGGAGCCCAAAAGTTTGGCAACTCAGAAATAAAAAATGTAGGAGATATGAAATTCCTCTCTTGAAACTTAGAAACTAGTATGTTTAAGAAGTAAGCTTTTAAAATTGGTGTTATTATTTATATTGATCTATAATTATTCTGTTTGTTCACTGTTAGAGAAGTAATAACAAATATAAAAGAAGAAACTTTATAATTAGCTCATATATGAGAAAAATCATTGGGGTTTACTTTGATTTGTAATTACATATCATATAATATTTACCTTAGGTAACTTGTAAACCAAGCCAAAACTCACCATCTTGTTTCAAAGTTACTGTTTCTGTTGCTGAGCCCTTTTCTTCTAACATTGCAAATATTCCAAAGAATTTGGTTGATGAGATTTTGGAAGAACTGGAGCACAGTGTACCTCTCTTGGAAGTGTATCCTGTTGAAGGTCAAGATTCTGATATACATGATATTGCCCTGGCCCTGGAAGTTGTAAGGTATTAGGGCTTATTACTTCTGAAAGTTACAATTATATTCAAAAAGTTAATATGTAAGTTTTCCTCATATCAGCACTTTATAAATATTTATTGCTTTAATTTTTATTCACTTATGAATTCAATTTGTTCGTTTTTAATTAATATATTTTACTTGTAACTCACTCTTTTAATTAAAACCTTTTTTTGCAGACGTATTATATATGGGTAGTAAAAAGTTTGCCATTGTTTGATCTTGTATTTTATAAAAATTGAATTAAAACATTTGAGAGATATGTAACATTAAATTCTGTCCATATTTAAGGACTTTAAATATATTTGATTTCATTTTTTATAATTAAGTACATTACAAATAATAGATGTCATCATTCACATTATGATGCTTCTTACAAGTTGATACAATTTGAGAGAAGCTATCCATAAACAAAAACCAGAATTTTTAAAATGTTTTTGTTTCTCTAATGCTTCCCTGCAAAAAGTTTTATTATACCTTAAGTAATATTTCTTTGGTGAACAAAATCATAGCCAAAATCTATAAAATTTGAAACTTGATTTTACAATCCTACTTCAAGAAATATCTTACCTGCAGTAATACCCTAAAATAGAATGCAGATCATCTAATTTTTTAAGTTTTACCTTTTATTGTTAGCTCATTGATAAGTCATTTAAAAATATTTTTTTAAGAATTAAGATTCATGTAGAGAATTCTGAAGTCAGAATGTCTTTTTAATTCTAAACATGGCAGCAGCTATTTGATCTCTATCATCTTAATTTGTTTTATCTTAGGTTTTTTTATGACTTTCTTTGGAGAGACTGGGATGATGAAGAAAGTTGTGAGAATTATACTGCTTTGATTGAAGAAAGAATTAATTTGTAAGTATAGTTTAGAAAATTATTCAGCACATTATAGAAGATAAACATTATAATTATATTATACTTTTCAGGTGGTGTGATATACAGGATGGAACAATACCTGGTCCTATTGCACAGCGTTTTAAAAAAACTTTGGAGAAGTATAAAAACAAGCGTGTCGAGCTCATCGCATACCAGAGCAATATTAAAGAAGATCCATCTGCAGCAGAGGCTGTTGAATGTTGGAAAAAATACTATGAGATAGTAATGCTATGTGGATTATTGAAAATATGGGAAGATTTACGCCTTCGGTAATTGCTCTATTTTAAATGAAACCAAAATTTTACATGGTCATTCTTTTTTCATATCACTTAACTTGTTATATATGTTAACCTGATTAAGATAGACTATAAAATTAAATGTCTAATTATGTCTAACAAAGAAACTATTCAATATTGGAAAATTATTTTATATTAGCTGAATTCACTGAAATCATCAGTGTTTTTTTGGGGGGAAGAGCAAGGACCTCATAAATCCAGCCATTTCCTTATGTTTCATCTTTGCCTTCTTGACCCTGGCTAAATCATCAGAAAAGAGAAGGTAGCCTAGGTCTCCACAGGTCATATGTAAAGTAAATAAGAGAAAGTTGACTAATTTGGCTGCCTCCTAATTTCAAATTTTCTAACCAGCATGTTGATAAGTTAGTTTTGATGCTAAATAATGTAGATTTAACCAGCATAATTCTCTAGAATACCTCAAAATGTATTAAAATATTTTTACATTACTGTGCAGTGAAGAGAAGTATGTATTTCTCTCTTTGTTTTAGATATGGAGAAATAGGGATTCTAGCTTATGGTTCCAAATTTCATGGAAAATTGTAAATGGAGCCAAAGACTTCTGACTATTTCATACCAAGTTGCTTAACTCCTTCTCTTGTGCTCCACTCTTACTTGTTCTTTGTCCTTAAGAATTCTGAGCTCTTTTTCACTCATCTAATAATTAACTGTCAGCCTAAATCTTTTCTTTTTGCATTTTCCCCCAAATTTGACCTGTTTTCTAAATCATAAGAATCCCATTCTTGTGCCTATTTTTGATGTTATGTTGTTATTGGGACTCTCGTGTAATAAAGCCTTGTAATTACTTTGGGAAACCAGCATAGATTAAATTATGAAACCTTCTTATTTAGAAATCCATAGATGTAAATATAGTTACGTTGGATATGTTGAATTTGAATGTAAGTAACTATTACTAGACTTTGGATTCTAATGGCATAAATCAACACCTACAGTTCTCTCATCTTAAAAGTTAAAGAAACACAAAAGTTCATTCCCAGGAATGATGGAATGAATTGACTGGGCAAACCCTTTTAAAAAATAATAACTATAAAGCCTGGACAAAATATATTAAAAATACCCAACTTATTAAAAGTACTATCAAGTGACCAAAGCAGGCAGCAACCAAAAAAAGTATCCAAGAAAGATGGGAACTGGAATCGGTGAGAAATGAGAATCTGTGGCTTTTTTGTCCGAGAGTGCTTCCCAATTCTCAGAGCTCTGGCAGGAAAAAATTGTAGTCTTACTGTTTCAACACGACAAACGGCAGAGTTCAGGGCTGGCAAAGCATCTGGAAATTTAGGCGGGGGGGCGGGGGCGGGTATCCTGAAAGTAAGTGAAGTACAAAAAAGATTGAGATCCAAAATTTGAGCATACACTGCCCAAATCCTTAGCTGACCGCTAAACTCTGCTGACATGGGAGACAGGGAACCACGCCAAAACAGAAACAGCTGGAACGTGAGAGAACTGAGCATAGATGTCAGCTGCTACATACCTCAAGGGAAACAGTTTTCAGTTTGAGGCCAGACGAGTTAACTGCCTGCAAGAAAACTAACAGTCCTTAGAAGCACATAACAGAATCCAGAGTTTCTACAGCATATTGTCCAAAATGCCCCATTTTCAACCAAAAATAATAGACATACAAAAAAGAAAACAAACAGAAAAATTAGATCCATATTCAGGAAAAAGGGTAGTTAATAGAAACTGACTCACAGTGGGCCCAGATATTGGATTTATCAAATAAAGACTTCAAAACAGCTATTACAAATATTTTCAAATAATTAGAAGAAAACATGATTATATAATTAAAGAAAAATATGGTTTTAATGAATGCACAGATAGGGAATCTTAACAGAAAAATGGAACTATAAAAAAAGAACCTAGGATTTCTGGTTTCAGCTCTGACAAGAACTGAAAGAGCTTGTAATTCATCACTCTCATCCTTACAAGAAAAAAGCTGAACATACTGAAAGCAATGTTACTTGGACCCATTGGGGAATTGAGGTCGCAGGGCAAACTGCCACCCAGAAATCTGGAGAGAGACCAAATTCAGAGAGCACAGCTGAAATCTGCTTACCTGGAGCAGAAGCCACTGAAGCCATAAGGTGGGAACACTTAAATGATAATTTTGATAAATTGATGAAGGCTGAATGTAGACTAGTACAAGACTGAGGAATTCCTGGAGCCACAGTCTTAGAGAAGCCCTGCACCTTTTTACCCCGAGAACCCCACCAAGTTCTCAAGTGAAGAACCAAGAAAGATACCATTGTGGCTCTGGCAGAGGAGGGGAAAATAGCCATTGTGAAATACATCCAGAGCATTTTCCATAAAAGAAGTCTACTCTCCAGGGTAAAAGACTTTATCAGAGCCTTATCCCACTTAGGGGAAGGGCATTTCCCCAACTTCAGTCCCCTCTCACCTTCCTGCCTCACCTTAAAGGTAGGAGGTAGGGGAAGAGCTAAGAAACACTTGTCGAGGTCACTGCCTAGGAATACAGGCCCAGTATAAGATTTATTCATAATATTATGGGAAATTTCCCCTCCCCTACACCTTACTACCATACCAACAAGGCTTCAATATAGTAACAGTTGATGACAGCTGAAAGAGCTGCAAGACACAGACTCTATCTAAGAAGGAGTTCTTAGGGTAACCGAAAGTCAAAAGGGGAGACAAAAACAGGAACACTATAGCAGTTTAAAGCCTCTGTCAGCTACAGCTACAAAAAACATTAAGCACAGCCCAATTTTTAGCTAGATTATCATAAAACATCACATTAAAGGAATCTGTAACTCAGTTCTTATTACCTAATACATTGTCTGGTTTTCAACAACAACAAAAAATTACCAGGAGTGCTATAAGACAAGAAAAAACATAGTGTGAAGAGACAAAGCAAGCATCAGAACCAAACTCATGATTTTGGAGTTATCAGACAGGGAATTTCACAATTATTAATATGTTAAGAGCTCTAATGGAAAAAACACACAACATGCAAGTACAGATGGATAATATAAGCCAAGAGATGGCAATTCTAAAAATGAATCAAAAGGAAATGCTAGAACTTAAAACACTAACAGAAAACAATGCCTTTAATGGGCTCATCAGTAGACTAGTCTGACTGAGGAAAGAACCAGTGGGCTTAAAGGTAAATTAATGGAAACTTCCTAAATTGAAATGCAAACATTAAAAAAAAATGGCAAACAAAAACGGAATACTAAAGAACTGTGGGATAATTTAAATAGGTGGACATGCACAAGTGGAATATCTGAAGGAGAAGAAAGCAAATGGAGCAGAAAAATATCTGAAGTAATAATGGTGGAGAATCTTCCAAAATTAAAGACAGACACCAAACCACAGACCCAGGAAGCTCAGAGAACATCAAGCAGAATAAATACCAAAAAAAAAAAAAAAATCTACACCCAGGCATATCATATTCAAACTGCAGAAAGTAAGACAGAGAAAACCTTGAAAGAAGTCAGAGAAAAAAAACACCTTATGTATAGAGGAATGAAAATAAGAATTACAGCAGACTTCTTGTCAGAAACCCTGTAAGCAAGATGAGAATGGAATGAAAGATTAAAAGAAAGAACCACCAACCTAGAATTCTATATCAAATGAAATTATCCTTCAGAAGTCAAGAAGACATAAAGACTTTCTAAGACAGACAAAAACTGTGGAAATTTATCACCAGCAGCCCTACCCTGCAAGAAAGGTTAAAAGAAATTCTTTAGGGAGAAAAACAATGATAAAGATCAAAAACTCAGATCTACATAAAGAAGGGAAGATGGTCAGAGAAAGAATAAATGAAAGTAACAAAATCTTTTATTTTTCTTATTTATTCTTAATCTAAAATATAACTTTAATAGTAGTAACAATGTATTACATTGGTGTAACATATGAACAAGTGAAATGAATGACAGCAATGTCATAAAGGACAGGAGGGAGGAACTGGGAATAGCCTGTTCTAAGGCATCTGTACTACACATGAACTAGTATAGTGTTATTTGAGCACGGACTTAAATTAGTTAAAAATGTATACTGCAAACCTATCTACGGAAAACACAAAAAATATTTTAAAAGATGTATAAATTGATATAAAGAGGAGATAAGATGGAATCATAAAATGCTCGATTAAAACCAGAGGCAGAAAAAGAGGGAAAAAAAGAAAGAACAAATGTAACAAATAGAAAACAGTTATGGGTTTGGTAGATATTAATCCAACTATATCAATAATCACTTTAAATGTGAATAATCTAAATACACAAGTAAAAAGGTAGAGATTGTCAGAATGGATTAAAAAAACAAAACAAGACCCAACTACATATCATCTACAAGAAATCCACTTTAAATGTAGAGACCCACATAGGTTCACACAAATACAGTCAACTGATCTTTCACAAAGGAGCAAAGGCAATTTAACTGAGAAAAGATACTCTTTCAACAAATAGTGCTGGAACAATTGGTCATCCATATAAAAAAACACATACCAACATATAGATCTTACACTTTTCACAAAAACTAATTCAAAATGGTTCATAGATTTAAACATAACAATGCAAAATCATGAAGCTTCTAGAATAAAACAGGAGAAAATTTAGGTTCCCTTGCGTTTGGCATTGAGCTTTTAAACACAACACCAAAAGCATGATCCATGAAAGAAAAAAACTGATAAGTTGGACTTCATTAAAACTAAAAACTTCTGCTCTGTGAAAGACACTGTTAAGAGAATGGTAAGACAAGCCACAGACTAGGAGAAAATATCTGCAACATACATATCTGATAAAGGTCGTGTAGCCAAAGTATGCAAAGAACTCTTAAAATTCAACCATAAGAAAACAAATAATCTAAAAAATGGTGAAAGATCTGGACAGACATCTCACCAAAAAATATATACAGATGGCAAATAAGCATATGAAAAATACTCAACATCATTTATCATTAACCAAGCACCAGTTGCTGTTGAGTTGACTCCGACTCACGGTGACCCTCTGTGCAGAGTATAACTGCACTCCATAGGGTTTTCAAAGCTGTGACCTTTCAGAAGCAGACTGCCAAGCCTTTCTTTAGAGGTTCCTCTGGCTGGGTTCGAATCACCAACCTTTCAGTTAGTAGTCAAGCGCTTAACCATTGGCACCATCCAGGGACTCCTCATTTGTCATTAAAAAACCCAAACCCCTTGCCATTGAGTTGATTCCAACTCATAGCAACCCTACATAGGGTTTTCAAGGCTGTAAATCTTTAGGGAAGCAGATTGCCACATCTTTCTCCCACAGAGCGGCTGGTGAGTTTGAACCACTGACCTTTTGGTTAGCAGCCGAGTGCTTAACCACTGTGTCACCAAGGATCCTTTGTCATATAGGGGATTGCAAATTAAAACAACAAGATACCACTACATGCATTAGAATGGCTAAAACCCAAAAGACTGACATTACCAACTGCTGGTGAGGATGCAAAGCAAAAGGAACTTATTCATTGCTGATGGGAATCAAAATGGTACAACCACTTTGGAAGACAGTTTGGCAGTTTCTTACAAAGTTAACCATATGATCCAGCAATTGCACTCCTAGGTATTTACAAACTAATCTGAAATATTATGTCCAGACAAAAACCTGCACAGAAATAAAAATTATTAAAAGGAATACTATGAACAACTGTATGTCAATAAATTAGATCACCTAGAGGAAATGGAGAAATACCTAGAAAGACAATAACTACTGAAACTGACTCAAAAAGAAACAGAAAATCTGAATGGGTCTATAACAAGAGATTGAATTAGTAAGCAAAACTACCCCCAAAGCAAATCCCAGGACCAGATGGCTTCGTGGTGAATTCTACCAAATGTTTAAAGAAAAATTAACACCAGTTCTTCACAAACTCTTCCAAGAAACAGAAGAAGGGAACGCTTCCCAACTCATTCTATGAGGCCAGTATTACCCTGATACCAAAGCCAGATAAAAACACCACAAGAAAACTTCAGACTAATATCCCTTATGAATATACACACACAACTCCTCAACAAAATTCTAGCAAACTGAATCCAGCAACATATAAAAAGGGTCATATACTATGACCAGCGGAATTTATCTCGGGAATGCGATATTGGTTTAACATACAAAAAGCAATCAATGTAATACAACGTATTAACTGTATAAGGGACAAAAGCCACCTAATCATCTCGACAGATGCAGAAAAAGCATCTGACAAAATCCAACACCCTTTCATGATATAACTCTTAATAAACTTGGAATAGAAGGGAACTTCTCAACCTGTTAAAGACCATCTACATCATACTTAGTGGTAAAAGACTGGTTTTTACCTCCCTAAGATCAGGAACAAGGCAAGGATTTCCACCCTCACCACTTCTATTCAAATTGTACTAGAGGTTCTAGCCACGGCAATTAAGCAAGAAAAAGAAATAGAAGGCATCCAGATTGGAAAGGAAAAAGTATAATTATCTCCATCTGCAGTTGACATGATCTTGTATACAGAAAATCTTCTAATGAAATACTACTTAGCAATAAAAAGGAACAAGTTGCTGATGCAGGCAGTAACACGGATACAGCTCAAAATTAGGTTGAGAGAAAGGCGCCAGACATGAAACAGTATATAGTGTATTATTCAGCTTTAAAATTCCATTTATAAATTCTACTAAAGGGAAAAGTTTAATGATGAAAACCTATCTGTGGTTGCCTGGGAGTGGGTAGGGAGGATTGACTACAAAGATGCATAAGAGAACTTATCAGGGTGATGGAAATGTTCTATACCTTAATTGCTGTGATAGAATTAAATGGGTGCATACATTCATGAAATCTCATGGACCCAGTTCACTTAAAACAAGTGTCTTTTATATAAGTTATTCCTTAATAAATTTGATTTTTAAAAATCACTTATATACGTCTTTAATTTTAAAACTAGGATTGCAAATAAACAAGTGTGGTTAGAATGCTTTACTCTGAAGAGCTAGTAATCTGGTCTATGGTTAAAAATGTATGAGTCTGTTATGGATTGAATTGTGTCCCCCAAAAATATGTGTATCAGTTTGGCTAGGCCATGATTCCCAGTATTGTGTGACTGTCCACGATTTTGTTATCTTATGTGATTTTCCTATGTATTGTAAATCCTACCTCTATGATGTTAATGAGGTGGGATAGGCCACAGTTATGCCAATGAGGCAAGACTCAATCTACAAGATTGGACTGTGTCCTGAGCCAGTCTCTTTTGAGATATAAAAGAGAGAAGAGAGCAGAGAGACAGGCGGACTTCATACCACCAAGAAAGCAGTGCCAGGAGCAGAGCGTGTCCTTTGGACCTGAGGTTCCCATGCAGAGAAGCTCCTAGACCATGGGAAGATTAATGCCAAGGACCTTCCTCCAGAGCTGACAGAGAGAGAAAGCCTTCTTCTGGAGCTGACACCCTGAATTTGGACTTTTAGCCTACTAGACTGTGAGAGAATAAACTTCTGTTTGTTGAAGCCATCCACTTGTAGTATTTCTGTTACAGCAGCACTAGACTAAGACAAAGTCATTCTCTATTTCTCAAGATCAAAACCACTTACTTAAATAGGCATAAAAATGCTGAGTGGTTTGATTTTGAAATGTTTAATGAAACTTTTGCTTCCGGAGACATTGCTAATATATTCAAATTCAAATTTTAATAGCCAGCATGGTAAATTCTTAGAAGCAATTTTCTGAAATCTTAAGCTTCACAATAATATTTTGATAGTCAAGATATAAACCAAAAAACTATTGGCACTAAAGGTGCATCAACTTCAGCATCAGGCAATAATCAATCTTCTGCAGAAAGCCAAAAAAATTATACCTAAGTAGATTACTGGTAAATCTACATCTACTGGAAAGGAGTGTTCTGTTTGGGTTACAATAATGATAAAGGCCAACATACACTAAAAAAATTTCTGACTGCTTTGGGAGAACAAGGGAACAAGAAACATAAAGAAAAGCAGAAGAGAAAGAATGGAATTAATTAGAAGTGCTGAATAGCAAACAATATAAAAACAACTAAGAGAGAAACCAGACTACTGCTGGGAGGCCAACAACCAACTAACTATCTATGGAGACTATATCTTTTGTAACAAAACAATCTGGTAATTGAACATAGTATCTAAAATTAGGTATGACCCCAAACATTCTTATGCCTCAGTAGCACAGACATATCCATCTCTGCTTTGTGTCAGTCTACAACTCAGGGGATTATGAAAGCATATTCAGGATATTTTTCTACTGTATTGAAAGGCTGAAGTGGCTGAGGCAGTGGTTGTAGTGGGTGGCATTCAGATTTCCAGGTACAAACCATTAAAATGAAAAGATTTTAGAGTTCAAGGGTTTAAACAGTTATTTAAAAGATCTTAATCATCCCATCACTCTCAAGGAGCTCATTGCTCTCAAGGAGCTTATAATTAATTAATGATGCTTAGTACCAGATTTTTATTTTCTAAGTAAGTATAGGTTGAGTCTTTTTAATGTTAATTTAATCATAATATGTTTTTAACTATAGAGTTCATGGACCTTTCTTTCCAAGAATTCTGAGGCGGCGGAAAGGAAGAAGAGACTTCGGGAAGACTATAACACACATTGTAGCAAAAGTGATGACTACTGAAATGGTAAGGAATACTCTTCTTATTTGTTCATTTAAGTTTTAGCTGCATATAATCAGAAAAGAAGCTCTTTGAAGGTAGGGTTCTTATCTGACCCATTAATGGCTTATTTACCTCATTGTATTCAACTCAGTGATTGGCATATGATAAGTAACAAACCAACAAACCAACAAACAAATGTCAACAGATATTTGCCAGGCACCATGCTAGTTGCCATGGGGAAGATGGAGTACAAATATGAGAAAGACAGCATTGGAGGGGATACAGTGATGAACAAGCCCCACAGCTTTGCTTCTTCATACATGCAACAAATTTAAAGTAGAGAAGAGATATGGATACGTATCGTATTTTTATGCATATAACGCAAACCCGTACATTTATTTACCACGTGGGGGGAGGGAGTGGTTGGCAAAAAAAGGTGTGTTATTTGTGTAAAAATATGGTAAATAGGCAATCACAATTGCAACACAGAATAATAAACGCTATGATGGGGTATGTACAGGGTACACATATGATGGGTACATAAGCCAAAATTAGGAATTCTGGCAATGCTGGCTGGAAGAAATTGCTGAAACCTTAAGGATGAGTATGAGTTTAGCCAGCCCAAAAGGGATGTTATAGTTGAATTGTGTCCCTCAAAAATGTGTGTCAACTTGGCTAGGCCATGATTCCCAGTATTATGTGGTTGCCCACCATTTTGTGATCTGATGTAATTATCCTATGTGTTGTAAATCCAGACCTCTATGATGTTAATGAGGCAGGATTCAATATACAAGATTATGTTGTATCTTGAGTCAATCTCTTTTGAGATATAAAAGAGAGAATCGAGCAGAGAGGAGAGGGGCTTCATTACCACCAAGCAAGAAAAGCTGGAGCAGAGTGCATCCTTTGGACCCAGAATCCCTGTGCTTAGAAGCTCCTAGACCAGGGGAAGATAGAATTTAGTACCAAGAGTGGGGTGCTGCTCTAACAGATACCTAAAATGTGGAAGCAGTTTTGAAACTGAATGGGTAGAGGCTAGAAGAGTTTTAAGGTGCCTAACAGTAAAAGCCTAAAATGCCTTGAAGAGAGTGATGGTGGAATTATGGACATCAAAGGCAGTTCAGTGAGGGCTCAGAAGGAAGTGAGGAGAGCTGTAACACCAGAGATGGTGCAGACAGCAAGAAGCAGTGGCAGAGGAATGGTAGCAGCAGAGCCAGGAGACTGGCATGAGATGGTGAGGGAGGCTACCCATGGAGCAAGAGAGCTGAATGCCTTTGGGCAGGAGGCTTCCTAGAGGAGTAGGGTACCTCTGGGCACTTATCAGTGAAGCTAGGCTTGCTGACTTATGGAATTAGGGAGCTGAGTGTCCTCAGGCAGAGGCTTACTGGTGGAGTGGGGTGCCTCTGGGCACTTATCAGTAGAGCTAAAGAGCTTTCTAACACTTGCCCGAGCAGGGCAGAGGCCGGGCCAGCCCAAGAGGTCCAAGGGGCCAACAGGCCAAGGAACCAGGAAGCAGAAGCTTAAGAGACAAGGAGCACAGGAAGCAAAAGGTAGGGTCATGATCTCTGGGGTCTGAAAGGGTGGAACCATGGCCTGTTGAGTCTCAAAGGTCGAGCTACAACCTCCTAGGTTTCAGAGTCAGAATTTCACCAACTCAGTTCCGGAGTGTGGGGCTGCTGTTCGTGGGTGGCAGGGGGATGGGGCTGGATCCACTGCCCAAAGCTGAGGAGGCAGGACTGCCATGCCCAAGGGGCAGAAGAACAGGGCCTGCTGGGGCCAAGGGGGTAGGGTCACCACTCAGATAGACTAGGAGAATGGGACCACCTAAATCCAAGGGAGCAGAGTTGCCATCGCAGTGGGCCTTGAAGCCCAGGGCTGAGGGGCCTCCACCTAGAATCTGGAGAGTGTGGCCAATATTCAGGGTCTGGAGGGCAGGGCCATTGCCTAAATGGTTTCAGAGAACAGAGGATTATGTTCAAACCTTGAGAGCTAATGTAATGTGTTCTGCTGACTTGCTTGATTCCTGTTATCCCTTTTTTCCCTCCAATTTCTCCCATTTGTACCTTATACCTGTTCCACCATTGTACTTTGGAAACAGGTAACTTGTATTCTGTATTTCACAGATGAAGAGGAATTTTGCCCCAGGAGATTTTGGACTTGGAGTTGATTTAAGACTTTTGCTATGAGATGATGGGGTGAATGTGTTTTACATGTATGAAGGACATGAATTTTGGGGGGCCAAAGGGTGGAATGTTATGGATTAAATTGTGTCCCCCTAAAATGCATGTCAATTTGGCTAGGCCATGATTCCCAGTATTGTGTGGTTGTCCACCATTTTGTGATCTGATGTGATCTTCCTATGTGTTGTAAATCCTAACCTCTATGATGTTAATGAGGCAAGATTAGAGGCAGTTATTTTAATAAGGCAGGACACAATCTATAGGATTAGGTTGTATTTTGAGTTAATCTCTTTCGAGATATAAAAAAAGAGAATCGAGCAGAGAGGAGAGGGACCTCATACCACCAAGAAAAGAAGAGCTAGGAGAAGAGTGCGTCCTTTGGGCCCGGGGCCCCTGTGCTGAGAAGCTCCTAGACCAGGGAAAGATTGACAACAAGGACCTTCCCCCAGAGCTGACAGAGAGAGAGAAAGCCTTCCCCTGGAGCTGGCACCCTGAATTCGGACTGCTAGCCTCCTAGACTGTGAGAAAATAAATTTGTTTGTTAAAGCCATCCACTTGTAGTATTTCTGTTATAGCAGCACTAGATAACTAAGACAAGGGGAAAAGTTTCTAAGCCAAAGAGTAAATATTTCCATTCACTTGGCCTCAGCATTTTAGCACTCTCTCCTTGAAATATTTTCTTTTCTTTTATGATACTCTCCGGGTTTTCATTCTCTCTGGTTGCTTGGTTGTTGTCTTTTATTTGGCACTATATCATCTCTAAGTGATTTATCAAATCTTCTCCCATCACTTTGATTTTACATACTGATAATCCAAAATGCATATCCACAGACCAGACTTGTTCTGAGCCCCAAACCTGTATGTTAAACTGTCTGTCATCACCACTTGATTATCTCACAAGTTCTTCAACTCAAAAGTCCATAATTAAATTCATGATCTTATTCACAGACTTTCTTATATTCTAGTGTTCCCTGTTTCTGTAAATGGCACCACCATCCACCAGTTACCAATTATAATTTTCTGAGAGTCATCCTACTTATATCCCTCAACCTCTTCCTTCTTCCACTTTTCTCCCTCATTAATGCCACACCGTGGTATAAGCCATGTTGTCTCCTCTGCCTGCTGAACCTCTTTTCATCCTTCAAGTCACAATTTAAACATCATTTCACCAAAAAAAGGCTTTCTCAACCTTCCAGAATACATTAAGACTGTTATATACTCTCATAGCACCATGCACTTTCCCTTACTGGCCCTTATCAAAGACTGTATTTAATACTTTTTGTGGATATCTATTAAATGTCTGTCTCTTTAACTAGAATATAAGCTTCTTGAGGATAAGGAGTGTGTGTCTTTTTTGACTCATCCAATCACCTAGCAAGATGCTTAGCACATGGTAGGCGCCCAGCAGTTTTTATTGAATGAATAAATGAATGCAAGTGTGCATGCATGTAAAGGCCCAGTGACAACACAGTATGGTATATTTGAGGAATTGAAAGAAGTCCAGCAAGACTGGTGTTTAACACTTAAGAGGAGAATGGTGAGTGGTAAAGGTGGCTTGTTTTATTGTCTTGGCTGCTATCCTACCCATTTATATTATTTTCAATAAAATTTAATTGTCCTTTTGTTTATTGGGTTTATTCTGGATATTTCATATAAATGGAATCATATATGACCTTTTGTCTCTGGTTTCTTTCACTGAGCATAATGTTTTTGAGGTCCTATCTGCAGCTTGCCCCATTCTCAGTCCCTCCCCCCAGACGGCTATAGGTAGTATACGTCCTTAAATGCTTTTGTCAGAGGCTACCTGGAAAGCTGCTCCAGTCCAAGGAGTAGTGAAACAAAGGTCTGCTTCTGCATCTGCCTCTCAGGGAATTGTCAGACTGGTCAAAATGCACAACCACAATTTTTTTTAGAACCAGGTCCATATTGTACCCCCTAGCACCAGCAAGCCACACTAGGAATGTGGGCTCCCATCTCCACCACCATTGCTAAGGAATGGGGGATGGTAGGTGGGTAAGCAAAAATGCGACAGCACCTTATTACCCAATTTTAGCAGCTTCTTTCTTCATTAAGCACTCCCCTGGTTTTGTAAGTGTTTGGTTAGATCCCAGGGTTCCAAAAATGTTAATTCTGTTAGTCTTTGTCAGATTAATGGTTGCTTCTGTGGAGGGGCCAATTGTTGGAACTTCCTACTCCACCATTTCCATGACATCACTTCTTGTATCTTTAAATTCTCCTTTCTCCTTCTTGATACATTGAGACATAGTCAATTCCATTCTGTCTATTCTGTCTTAAATGACAAAACAACACCTACCCTAAACACTGCAACTCTCTCTCTTCCCTTGAAGAGAAAGACTTCTTGAAGCACTTGTCCTTACTTCTTTCACATTCACACCTCTATCCACCGCGATCTGTCTTCTGCCTCCAGTTTATCAATGAAAATGCTCTTGTGGCCCTGTGGAACCTTTCTGTGGTTAAATCCCGTAGTCACAACTCATGGCTTACTTACTTCAGGCTTAATTTTTCAGCAGCATTTGACACGATCAACTCCTTCTTTCTTCCATGACATCTTAGTCTCCTGATTTATTTACCTCTTTGGCCACTCCTCGTTTGTTTGTTTTTTTTTTAATGAACTCTTCTTTTGTGTCTGCCTGTCCTTTAAATGTTGTTCCTCAGTGTTCTGTCCTAAGGTGCTACTGTCCTTCCTTCCTTTACGAATTCTTGTAGCTAATGCCATCCTTTCCCATGCGTGAATTGTCACATAAGTAAATAACTTCAAGATCTCTATGCCTAGTCATACTTTAGTACTATAGTCTAGATCCTTATATCCATAATCTACTGGATAGTTTTACTTAGCTTTTCTACTGGCACCTCAAATTAACTGGCACCAAAATTAAACTCATTATCTTCTCACATCAAACTTTCTTCTCCCTCCTGTATTTCCTGCTTCAGTGAATAAGAAAAATATAACTGAGAAGGATTTCAGAGTTCTTTCAAAATTTTTTATTCAAAGAGGTAATACTTGTACTGTCTGCCTCTGAGTATTTGGAGTATGTAATATGTGATACCAGCACAAATGAATTTATAGGTGTGTCAATTTAGTGAGGATATAAGAGGTTACATACATAAAAGTTCACTCTCACTTATCAAAAGAATGGAGATTAAAATGAAGCACAATGAGGATTTTTATTTATTAAAATGGCAAAAATCCTAACCTTACAAATACCCCAATGTTGATGAATTTGCAGCAAAATAAGCATTCTCAAACCAAGCTTTAACTGGTTAAACATTACTGGAGGGCAATTTTGCAATGTGTACCAGAGACTCTTAAAATGTTTTATACCCTTTGACTTAATAATTCCCTGCCTAATAATTTATCCTAAAGAAAGGACTGTTGTTGTGTGCCATCGAGTCGAATCTGACTCACAGCGACCTTACAGGACAGAGTAGAACTATAGGGTTTCCTAGGCTGTAATCTTTACAGGAGAAGATTGCCAGGTCTTTTCTCCCTTGGAGCGGCTGGTGGGTTTGAACCTCTGACCTTTCAGTTAGCAGCCAAGCACTTTAACCATTGTCCACCAGGGCTTTTTAAGGAAAGGACTAGAGATATATGTAAGAATTTATTTGCTGTAGTATTTTTATAATAGTGACAAATGGTAAACCATCTAAATAGGCAAGAGTAAGAAAATCATATTATTGTATACAGTAATATATGTTACGCTATTATGTAGCCATTAATAATTAGGCTTTGAAAAGATATTTGGACATGGGTAAACATGATATAATGTAATGAAAAAGATCAGGATTCAAAACTATACAGTGTATGGTGTATTTCTATATGAATAAATGAATACATGCATGAGGAAAAGGCTAGAAAGAAACATCTATGTTAACAGGGATTATATTTAGGTAAAAATTTATAGGTTAATTTTTCCTTTTTTGTTATCCTTTTACTTCCTACATTTTAAACATAACAAACAAGTATCACTTTTACAATTAAAAAAAAGATATTTCCATTGGGATAAATGAACAATTGGCATTTTTATCAGAATGTATTCTTAGTTCCCAAATTTCATTTTTAAAGTCCTTCATTCTTCATAAGACTAATAATGTTCTCTCCTCTTTTCTACTCCCACTGCAAATTCTTGGTGCTTTTTGTTTTTAGCTCCAAAACAAAACCAAACCTATTGCCATCGAGTCAATTCCGACTCATAGCGACCCTACAGGACAGAATAGAACTGCCCCATAGGGTTTCCAAAGAGTGGCTGGTGGATTTGAACTGCTGACCTTTTGGTTAGCAGCCAAGCTTTTAACCACTGAGCAACCGGGGCTCGTTTTTTTAGCTCCAGAATCTTTAATATATGAAATTTTGTAGATTCACCAAAATTGGAGGGTCAGTTTGAATTAAAGAAAACAAAGTAGTATACTGGAAAGAGCATGAAGTCTGGTACCACAAAGACCTAGATTTAAAGTTCATTCACCAACTCAGTGTCCTTGACAAATCATTTTTTAAATAATAATTTATTTTTGGTGTAGTTGTTGTTGAAAATATACACAACAGAACATACCCCAATTCAACAGTTTCTACATGTACAATTCAGTGACATTGATTATGTTCTTCGAATTGTGCAACCATTCTCACCCTCCTTTTCCTAGTTGTTCCTCCCCATTAACATAAACTCACTACCCCCTAAGGGTCCTACGTAATCTTTTGAGTTGCCGTTGTCAACTTGATCCCGTATAGATAGATCTTAAAAGAGCACAATGCTCAAGGCAGACGTTCTTTTTATTTTTATTGTGCTTTAAGTTAGTTTCTCATACATAAATTTATACACACATTATTATGTGACCCTAGTTGCTCTCCCTATATTGTGACAGCACACTCCTCCGTTCCACCCCGGATTTCCCGAGTCCTTTCAACCAGCTCCTGACCCTCTCTGCCGTCTCATCTTGCCTCCGGACTGGAGCTGCCCATTTAGTCTCATGTATCTACTTGAGCCAAGAAGCACACTCTTCATAAGTATCATCTTTATGTCCCATAGTCCAGTCTAATCTTTGTGTGAAGAGTTGGCTTCAGGAATGGTTTTAGTTTTGGGCTAACAGAGAGTCTGGGGGCCATGGCTTCCAGGGTCCCTCCAGTCTCAGTCAAACCATTAAGTCTGGTCTTTCCACTAGAATTTGAGTTCTGCACCCCACTTTTCTCCTGCTCCATCAGGGACTCTCCACTGAGTTTCCTGTCGGGGCGGTCATTGGTGGTAGCCGGGCACCATCTGATTCTTCTCAAGGCACACATTCTTTACTAGTTAAGCTAAAACTGTTGTTTGGTCCTTGACAAATCATTTAATCTCACTGAGCTTCAATTTCCTTAACCTTGTAACAAGGATAATGCTTTACCTCAGAGAGGTTGTGAGGCTTACCCATTGCCATCGAGTTGATTCCGACTCATAGCGACCCTACAGGACAAAGTAGAACTGCCCTATACAGTTTCCAAGTTGTGGCTGGTGGATTCAAATTGCTGACCTTTTGGGTAGCAGCCTAAGCTCTCAAGCATTTCGCCACTGGGGCTTCGCAGTGAGGCTTAGGAAGTAATATCAAAGCTGACTTCTGGCACGTAGCTCGTACCCAGTAGAATTATTACTGATTTTTAAGAGAATTGCATTTTTCATCATTCCTTTAATTAATGGACTGACATTTAACAAATGTAAATAATTAAATCTTTGGGCAAAGCACATGTCACCAAGAAATAACTGATTAAAATGACAAGTTTCAGTTTAACTTCTTGTTGAAGGTACATTGTTTTGTTTCTTTTCAGGTAAAGGACTTATCTTCAGACACACTTCTCCAACAGCATGATGATTTGGATTTGGCTTTGGATAGCTGTTATAGTGGAGATACAGTAGTTATTTTTCCAGGGGAATATCAAGCTGCAAACCTTGCTTTATTGACTGATGACATCATTATAAAGGGTTAGCAGGGCATCCTTTGCAATCTTTTTAAAGCACTGTATATTGGACATATTATATAGTATAAACATGCTTAGTGTGATTATTAGAACAGTTTTTGTTTCACAAAAATCTCTTACGTGCTTCTTAAAATTAAAATTTGTTTATAATAATTTCTATTATTTCCATATATACTTTTACCAAAACTACTTTTTTCTCATCTGTTCCCACTGTTCTTCCTATCACTTTACTTGGAAAACTCAGATGTAAGCCTATGTTAAAATATACTCAGTATTTTCTCAGAAAAGCTAATTCACATGCAAACTTCCTAAAATGGGAGTAGAAAAGCAGTGAGCTACATTTATTTTAGATTCTGAACATATTTAGTAACTTTAATTGTGCCCTCTTTGAAATGAGTGTTCCCATTGCCTGGCCAAAAGAAAAGAACAGGTTAACTAAACTTTGCCTATTAATTCAAAAACTAAAGGAAATTTTCACTAGGTTTTGATGGCTGTAGTAAGTATTTTGCTGAACAGTATGGGTAATAAGGATCATATTTGTAATTAAAAAAAAAGTAACCTTTTTTAGGATCTAACACCTCATTTGTGTACTGATGTTAAATAGATTGCTTTGACTACTCTAGAGCAAATTTATGAGTATGATTACATTAACCTTTTAAACCAATTCAGGAATCTCTGCCACTCTTTTTCAGTTATGGTGATTATGGTTTTGAAACCAAGTTATGGTGTGGTGTACTTTTTGTATCTTAGATATTTTGTAGATGACTGCTGATTATAAAACTTAGGGAAGTATATAGTGAAATGATTATGTTGAAAAAATAACTTGGGTAAATTTAGATTGATAATAAACCTACACTTTTTCCATCATGCCATCAAAAAAAGGACAAAAGATAACGTTATAGTTAAGTATCTACTTGCTAACAACTGAGTATTTATAACTTACTAAACATACGTAAAAGGAAAAACTTAAAGTAGTAACATGTATTACCGAATGAATAAAGGGCTTTAAAATTTGGGATTACTTATATGTATTTTTATCCCTATGAATTAGGAGTTGGAAACAGAGAGGAAATTATGATTACTTCAGAACCTTCTCATGACAGTTTTGTGGTGTCCAAAGCAAACAATGTGAAACTAATGCATCTATCGTTGATACAACAAGGGACAGTTGATGGTATTGTGGTGGTGGAGTCTGGTCACATGACTCTAGAAAACTGTATATTAAAATGTGAAGGAACAGGAGTGTGTGTTCTTACAGGGGCTGCTTTGACAATTACAGACAGTGAAATTACTGGTGCCCAGGTATTTCATTCCATAAACACTACGACTTCGTATGACTAGAGTTAACAACCTTGAGTGATATTAATATGCAAACAAAGTATAGCAATTTCTTCATCTTTGGATCTTTGGATGGAATTAGAATTACTTAAACTCAGAAACTGATAGAAATAAACAAAATGAGGACAAGTATAAGGATTCCTAGTACACTTAGGAAAGGTGAACTGCCTAAGTCCAAAGTAAGGAATTATTAGCTTTGTTTTATGTGTAATCTTTAAAAACTCTAGGAATCAGTGGCTATAAAACAGATGATGAGTTAGTTACTTGATGGTTTATTTTAAACGAAACAAGTACTTATAAGCTATCAGACATTACTATAAGGTATTGTGATAAGTTCTGACAACCTCTAAATAATCAAGACATAGCAAACTTGAGTGTGCTCAGATAACAATCACAAAGATCATTAAAGGAATGGAAAAGTGAATTTAAAAAAAGATGAAAGGAAGTAGGAAAACAAAATATCTTTTTTTAAAATGACTTTTTCTTAATTTCTACTAAAATGAGGAAATAGACTTTAGCAGCATTTTAAGAGATGCAGAGTGGATATGAATAAATTTTGATAACTATTGAAAAGAATTGGAGGTTTTCAGCTTGCTTCTAGAGGATTCATTTGGGTGGGAAAGTAAGGTAATGGACTATATTACCTCAACCTTCCGTCTAGGCTTATTGATTCTCTAACATAGACAATATTTAGTTTTCAATATTTTTTAACATAATCTCTATAATAAATTGTTGCATGCACTATCATATATTTTCATGTAATTTAAGTGTTTAGATTGCTAACAAAGAATTAGTTTTCAAGTCTAAGGAAAATTTTGGAGCTATTTGTGTGTGTGTTGTAGACTATTTTACTTTTAATTTGCAGGGTGCTGGTGTTGAACTGTATCCTGGGAGCATAGCCATTTTGGAAAGGAATGAAATTCATCACTGTAATAACCTCAGAACCAGTGACAGTTCGAAAAGTACCTTAGGTGGAGTTAATATGAAGGTATTCTCATATTTCTTTATATAGATTATAAGAATTGAAACACTAGAATAGGTAGTGTTAGTTTTAGCCTTACAATTTAGCCTTTCCACTCTTTAGTCCAGTTCTCAAGTCCAATAAAAAAAACTTAAAAAATCTTATCGATTTGTAAGAGAACAGCACTAGTAGTAATTAAAATATGGTTAAAATGATGGAAGCAATTTTAGTCTAATAACAACTTCAACTTAAATTCTTAGCAAATAACTTTTTTCTTGTGCTTTAGATGGAGGTTTACAGAGCAAATCAGTTTCTCTTTAAACAATTAATACACAGTTTTGTGATACTGGTTGCCAACCCATGACGGGTCAATACTCTCCCCTCCTCGACCTTGGGTTCCTCATTATCAGCCTTCCTGTCCCCTCCTGCCTTCTTGTCCTTGCCCCTGGGTTGGTGTGCCCATTTAATCTTGTTTTGTTTTATGGGCCTGTCTAATCTTAGCTGAGGGGTGAACCTCAGGAGTGACTTCAGTACTCAGTTAAAAGGGTGTCCGGAGGCCATATTCTCAGGGTTCTCTGTCAGACCAGTAAGTCTGGTCTTTTTTTGTGAGTTAGAATTCTGTTCCACATTTTTCTCTAGCTGTCTGGGACCCTCTATTGTGATCCCTGTCAGAGCAGTCGGTGGTGGTAGCCGGGCACCATCTAGTTGTGCTGGCCTCAAGTCCAGTGGAGGCTGTGGAAGTTGTGGTCCATTAGTCCTTTGGACTTATCTTTCTTTCCCTTGTGTCTTTGGTTTTCTTAATTCTCCCGTACTCTAGAACGGGGATGGGGGTGGGGGGTACCAGAGGAGTCTCTTAGATTGCCACTCAAAGGCTTTTAAGACTCTGGACGCTTCTCGCCAAAGTAGGATGTAGAACATTTTCTTTATAAACTGTTATGCCAGTTGAGCTACAATGTCCCCCGAGACCATGGTCCCCAGCCCTCAGCCCAGTAATTTGGTCCCTCAGGGAGTTTGGATGTGTTTATGAAGCTTCCATAACCTTGCCTTGGTCAAGCTGTGCTGGCTTCCCCAGTATCGTGTACTGTCTTACCCTTCACCAAACTTATCTATTGTCTATTTAGTGTTTTTCCCTGTCCACCGCTCCCCTCCCTTGTAACCATCAAAGAGTGTCTCTTTTTGTATGTAAACCTTTTCATGAGTTTTTGTAAGTGTTCTCATACAATATTTGTCCTTTTGTGAGTGGCTTATTTCACTCAGCATAATGCCCTCCAGATTCATCCATGTTGTGAGATGTTTCACGGATTCATCGTTCTTTATCATTGCATAGTACTTCACTGCATGTACCACAGTTTGTTTATCCCTTCATCTGTTGATGGGCACTTAGGTTGCTTTAGCAAGTAACTTGAAATACAAGAATCAGATTCTGCTTCAGTGGGTCTGGGATTTCTAACAAGATACCAGTTGATACCGATCCTGTTGGTCCACGGAGAAGCAATAAAAAGTATTTTAGATTTTTTATGGACATTAATACATTTTGGAAAGTAAAACATATTGAGAGAATAATATATTAAGAAACATTTTAAGTCTAACTTCAAAGTTGCATAAAAGATTTAAGCTAACCAATCAAAACATAAATAGCAATAACGTATAGGTGAAATGCCTTCCTATTACTTTGTTTCCAAAAGCTTACCTTTCTAGGTCCCTCTCTAGGCTTGTGTGGTCAATGATGTTTTTCTCTAGAACTCCAGTTTTACATTTTAATTCTTTACTGTTTTACGAATGCACATTTTGTCTCCTCAGATTATAAACTACTTAAGGACAGGACTTCTATTACATATTACTAGTAGAACCATCCCCTCAGCATAGCATGATTTTGGACCCTAAGCCAGATTAATTGGTTGATGATAAGGTACAAATAGTAAACTAGAGCATCATGCAGGCAATTGCGAAATCCTTGATTTATCTTAAGGTATCGTTTTTCTGTCTTTATTTTTAAATAGTTCTCAAACTTTAGCATTTTCTGATTCAGTGGGTCTGGGGTAGAGCCTTAGAATTTGCATTTAAGTTTTCAGGTAATACTTTTACTAGTCAGAATGACACTTTGAGAACCATAACCCTGCTACTCAAAGCGTGACCAGCAGCACTGGCATCACTTGGTAGCTTGTTAGAAATGCGGAATCTTGAACCTTATCCCACCAAATCAGAATCTGATTTTTAGATCCCCAGGCGATTTATATCTACATTAAAGTTTAATAAGCATGTTTGTAAAATCTGACAAGATCTCACCCCTGCCTTCTCCAGCTCCTTCTCTCCTACATTATACTCCAGCTACACTGGATTTGTTCCCAGATCTGATCAACCTTGTTCTTGTCCCGTGACCTTTGTATCTGCTGATCTCTTTACCTTAAAACACTTTTCCTCTAGATCTTAAGGTGGCTACCTCATTATTGATGTCTGAAAATAACTGTCCCTTTTCAAAGAAGCCTTTACTGTGAAGAACACTCTAGTTAAGCGGTACCCTCTCCCTATCCAGTCATGCCATCACATTGCCCTATTTCCTCCATATCACGTATCATTATCTGAAACTATTTTCATGTTTATCATGTTATAAGTCAGCTTCATAGAATACTGCCATATCCCCAGCATCTAGAATCAGTTATTTCTAATGATAACGATAAATTGGAAACTTCATTAAATATTCTTATAGTTAATATTAATCAGTGTGAGGAAAATAGCACTTGTTCAAAACTGAGACAGTCTCAGTTGTTTTAAAGAAAGCTGTTTTCCCAGTAAGTTCTAAAGTTTAATGATGTGTTCATTTGTTTATATTATTTTTATAAAAATTATTGAAAAACTAATTTCTTTGAATAATAGGTTCTGCCAGCACCCAAGCTGAAGATGACTAACAATCATATTTATAACAACAATGGCTATGGAGTAAGCATTCTTCAACCAACTGAACAGTTTTTTATTGTAGCAGAAGAAGCTCTCAACAAAGGGGCGGCCGCAGGAGACAAAAAAGATGATAATATGCTCTCCAAAGTAATGGAAAACCTGAATCTGGAAATGAATAATAATAAGATAGAAGCAAATGTAAAGGGGGATATCAGAATAGTCACAAGTTAAAGCATCTGGATTAAAGTTTTTGTATTTCAGATATTTAATAAACAATTCTCATATCCCACAGAAATGGTGGTTTTCATTAAATTCAAAGCTTATTTAATTAAAAAATATTTTAAACACTTTCATTGCATGATTCATTTTAACATGTATTCTTTTGAATAACAGCTTTACTGAGATGTAGTTCACATGCCATAAAATTCACCCTTTTAAAAGTGTACTTATTCAGTGGTATTTAGTACATTTTTAGTATATGGTACAACTACCACCACTATCTAATTCCAGAAACAAATGTGGTTTTAAAGACTGTGGTTAAGTGCTCGGCTGCTAACCAACAGCAGCTGGAATCCAACAGCTGGTCCAAGGGAGAAGGATGTGGCAGTCTACTTTTGTAAAGATTACCTCCTTGGAAACCCTATGGGGGAATTCTACTGTCCTATAGGGTCGCTATGAGTGTGAACTGACCCTACGGCAATGCGCTTATTTTGATTTCAGTCCAATAAAGAAGTCCCTGGGTGGTGCAAATGGTTAATGCACTTAATTACTAACCCACAGGTTGGAGGTTTGAGTCCACCCAGAGGTGCCTCAGAAGAAAGGCCTGGTGATCTACTGAAAAATCAGCCATTGAAAACCTTATGGAATACCATTCTACTGTGACACAGACGGAGTTGCCATGAGTTGGAATTGACCCAACAGCAACTGCCTTTTGTCCAATAGAAAGTATTAGGTGTTCTGTGTAGAGAGTAGATAAAATTTTATAGCCAATTCTTGTTCATTCCCAGGTATTTTTGCTAGTAATCAGAACATAAGGTTAGGTTCAACTGCAACAAACAAGGAAATCCTAAATAAGATGAGTAAACAATATAAAAATTCAAGAATTCCTAAGTATTCAAGATAGGGGTGGTAGGTGTTCCATACTGTCAAACTCAAGCTGCTTCTATGTTGTTTTCGTCCTTATATGGTGTCTATTCCTAAGATGAACTCATGGTGCAAGATAGCTCCTGCTGCTCAAGCCATGAGATCCAAATCCCAAGCAGAAGAGATAGGACCTTTCTACAAAGTGGCACATATCATTTCAATTTTTATGCTTTAAACTACAATGTAACCACAGGGCTACACCTAGCTGGAAATGACACCAGGAAATATAATCTTGACGGTGAATCTTGAATTGGATGTCCTCTAACATAGATTTATTTTCTAAGACAGGAAGTAAAAATAATTATTGGGAGACAACTAACGATCTTTTCCACAAAATACTGACTTTAGTATACAAAAAGAAATAAGCCCTCAAGCTCAAACACTTAAACCTTTCCTTCCCCATTTTCACTTTGACTTCGTGTTACCGATAACCTAGTAAAGTCAACCTCAAGTTTGTAGAGTATCTCTTTAGGCTGAAAGTTGATAATATATTTTTTCAAGCATTGGTGTTCATTGTTTTATCGAACAGCCTTATTTTTTAAGAAGTAAAATTACATAGGTTTTGCTTTACACAGATCTTGTTAGCTGGATGAAATAAAAGACACTGAATGTGGGGGCCTAAACAAGAACAATCTTTCTACAGTGAATTTAGTGAGTTGTAGGAGTGAGGATTTTCCCTTCCAACCCTCCTCCTCTGCCATCCTTACTTTTGGCTTCAAGAAGAGGTGACGGGCAAAATTCGGCTCTTTGAGGTGAGCAGAAACAGCAATAGCTTTGTGTGAGCAAACTTCTCACTCACTGGTCATTCACTTTCTTCTGCTGCTGTCACTGGTTTCCAGCTTCTTTTTCCAGACCCATTTCAGAACACTGTCATAGTTTTTCTCTACTCTTATATCCCTAAAGTATGCTCAAAGTACTTGTAAAATTTTCTAAGAATTTTGATCTTTCATAAAGTTAAAAGCTTCTCTCCCTCCTCCACCTCCCCTCTACATACACCTTATAATAAAAGACTGAACTTATATGGCGCAGTGGTTAAGGCGTTTGGTTGCTAACCAAAAGGTTGGTGGTTCAAACCCACCAGCCACTCAGTTGGAGAAAGATGTAGCGGCTTCCACAGAGATTCACGGCCTTGGAAACTGTACGGGGCAGTTCTACTCTGTCCTATAGAATCGTGAGCCGGAATTTACAGCAACGGGTTTGGTTTTCGTGGTTTTTCTATTTTCTCCACCACTTGTTCGGCAATTTGTCATACTTTGGTGGCCTGCGTGTTGCTATGATGCTGGAAGCTATGCCACCAATATTTCAAATACTAGTAAGGTCACCCACAGTGGGCAGGCTTCAGTGGAATTTCCAGATTCAGACAGACTAGGGAGAAAGACTGCTGATTGACTTCTAAAAATTAGCCAATAAAAACCTTAGGAATCACAACAGAACACCGTCTAACTCACTTGCTTTGGACACGTCACAGGAGGGATCAGTTGGTAGAGCAGAACATCATGCTTGAAGTACAGGACCAGTGAGGGCATGAGAGATCCTTGGTGAGATGGCTTGGCACAGTAGCTGCAACAAACGACTTAAAACTTGCTGGCCATCCTGAAGATGCAGGACTGCGCAACATTTCATTCTACTGTACATAAGGTTGCCAAGAGTTGGAGTCGATTTGAAGGTGGCTACCTGTCTTAGTTTTCTACTGCTGCCATAACAAATTACCACCAATGTGGTGGTTTAATCAATGCAAATTTATCATCTTAAAACAGTTCTACAGGTTAACAAGTGCCTCACTGGGCTAAAATCAAGGTGCTGGCAGGGTTGCATTCTTCTCTGGAAGCTCTAAGAGTAGGATTTACTTCAGTGTTCATTTAGGTTGGTGACAAATTCAGTTCCTTGCAGCTGTAGAACTGACATTGCCGTTTTCTTGCTGTCAGATGAATGTGGTTCCTAGCTTTTAGAAGCCACCCATATTCCTTGGCTCATGGCCATCTTTTTCAATCTCTTCCCCCCTTCCTCCACCAGCAATGGTGGGTCACTGGTAGCTTCAAATCTCTCCTTCCATCTTATCTGACACTCATCTGCCTTCTTCCACTATTAGGGACTCTTGTGATTAGATTGGGCCTATTTGGATAATCTAGGATCACCTTTCCATCTCATATTTGCGAAGTCCTTTTACGATGCAAAGTATGTATTTATGGGTTCTGGGGATTAGGATGTATAATCTTTGGGGGGCTGTTATTCTGCCCACCACATATATCTTAATTTTCTAGGCCAAGGGAAGACAAATCCTACTTCTACTTCTCTAGTGGGATTTAAGAAGAGTTTCCTTCACCAGGACCAACTATCTAATACACAGCTTGTATAAATTCAGGAGATTCTCATTTGGAACCTAAGAGGCACAGTTCCTTACTTCTGCTCTGCCCTTCCCTTTTGCACACATATCAGGCTTTTTCATATAGGCACTGTATCTTTGTAACCATTATATCCCCTACTTACTGTGCACTGCAAGAAAATGCTACTAGTGGGTCTCTACCTACGCAAAAGACTGAAGTGGGTTTTACAACCAAGGACATTTAATCATAGGTGCTGGGGATGGAAACGTTAAGATTCCATAGGTGAAAAGCAGGACCAACTGCGGCTAGAAGAGTGGCCCTGGAGTGGAATGATAAGGGATGAATTAGAACTCCTTTCTGTCTTTTCCTAAGGGTCTGGCAGTGTAAGTGGACATTTCCCTCACTCCACTGTCATGCCAGTACCAGCCAGGGTAGAGTCTAAATTGAAGAGAAGAACAGGAACCATAAAGTGAGTCTTTCGTCAGTTTATGAAGTAGAAACAGTGATGTACCAGGTGGATACAAACCAAAGGGCTGAACGACACTCTAAAGCAGCACAACATACCAAGAAAGTTCCTATGGTTACAGAAGCTGTTGTCAAGTGGGAAGGTACATGCATAGATTTTATAGATTTATGTCAGGTAGAATGCAACATATTTGAGGACAGAGGTCTAATTTTCCCAAACTATTAAAGTGAAAAATGAGAATACTATATACATTTGGTGATTGGGCCAATCAAGCGTTCTTAAACTGAAGTACATAGATAGGTTATAAGCGTCTGTGAACTACCTAAAATTGTTATAAGTAAAAAAAAAAAAATTGTGTATATGACTCTTGATGGGGAGAGTCCATAGTTATATTCTCAAAGGAGCCTCTTACCCTCAAAAGTTTGAGGACACTAAACTAGACAATATTTAAGGTTCCTTTTGCACATCCTTCATTTAACTGAAGCCTTAAATAGCTACTTCCCTTTCAACAAGATATATTTTTCTACAGAATAGCCATCCGAAATAACTTAGGTGAACTTTTAAAACTTGTTAGACATTTTAATACTTAAACACTTATACCATTACATATTTTGGTAATTTGAAATTTTGCAGCTTTTTGGTTGCATAAGACGAACATTTATTTACCAACAAATTTTAAAAGGCATTTCGTAGTTATCATTAGAATAATTTGCAAATGCTTAGAATTACTATTGCCAAGAAAAATTAATTTTACTTAAATCAATAGGCTAATCGAATCCAATTGTGCTTCCTATTATTTATAAATAGCTATGCATTTCTAATCATTTTAATTAAGATAATTACCAAAGTATTACAAATAATCACTCAGTATATCATTTTACAGATTTACCAGTTGTGAAAAAGGAAACATTGGATCATATAGCCAGTTCCTTTGTTACCTTTAAATTTATTTCTAGGTTTGGAAAAAATGTGGAATTTCAAAGTCTAAAACTTGCTAAAATATTTTCAACTTGATTCATCTTAGGGGGACCAACATATCCCAATTTGCCCAGAACTTTCCCAGTTCTACCACTTTGAAGTTCCATCTCCAGAAATCACTCAGCCTCAGGCAAACCAGCACAGTTGGTCACCCTAATTAGTTCCCAGGAAGCAGGCTTTCACATTTTTTCTTAGAAGCTAAATTACCAGTTTTCAGATGAATTCAGGTGACCTGGATCAGTTAATTTTGGAAGATTCAATAGTCAATTTTCCCCGTATGGTCCAGAAATCTTGTACATGTAACACGATCAGCTACACACAGAATTTTTAAAAATGTTCCTTTTCTGGCCAACAATTATCTACTTTTCAGGTAAACTCAGTGAAATTCAGGGACCTTATTCTCCAGTCAAAATCAAAACTCTTATGTCAGTTCCAATTGAGTCAAAGTCTGTATCTGATTTTCTTTACTCTCCTTCCAGATTAGGAGGGAAACTGGCATTCAAATATGTGTTTGGTCAAGATTGAAGGTATCCTCTTTCCAGCTGTCTGGGCTGACCCTAAACTGGCACAACAGTCATGTTCTCCGTATCTGTTCTTTTGGCATAGGTGGTGTCCAGAGGCTTCTGCATGTATCTTCATGGCACAGGAGAGCCCATGAAGTTGTAGTTGCGTTGTGTGTTCAAGGACTATCGCTGCCCACATTTTCTAGACACAGATCTGCAGCATGGCTTCCTGGGGCTGGCATACCAGCTTTTTCTCCCAGTTAACTTTCTACCATCTCTTCAGACCTAAAGAAGTTTACAATTCCCTTCCACATCATTCTTAGCACCAAAGGGAGCTCATGGGTTGTCACTGCCACTATCCTCCAGCTTAGATGTGCACAGTGAAGATGCCAACTATGCAAGCAGCCAACCAGAAGAATTGGGCACAAATCCGGTCCTCTCATCCCTGCCTTAACTGTTAGGGAAGACCCAATTTTGTCAGTGCCAATTATCACTACACCCACAAGCCCCAATATACGTGTGTGGTGGAAGAGAGAGTGGCGAGTAGAAACTCCAAACCTTTCCACGCATTCTTCCCAAATTCTCTTTTATTGTTTCCAGTCTCCTTTATCTCCGAAGTCGGGGTGGAGGTGAAGTAGGGATCATCTCTCTTGTTTTGAACAAGCTTTCCAATAATCTCACAGCTGCTGCGACATCCCTTAAACTGAGTATTGTCTTTGGTCTAGGAAGACTGTAGGTGGATGGTTGAGAAACAAACAAACACACTGGTTGATGCCAGAAGGTATTAATCTGCCACAAAGTAATGCTCCATGTAGTAACCTGCTCCACAAGTCTGATTATTTCTTCAAAGGAATGATTTTTGTGTCTTATGTCATAATGGATTCTTTGACAATTAAAACTGATGACCTGAGTGGACTTCCACTTACAGCTATGACAGTCTAACTGGAACCTTTCCCTCCCGTGTAAACTAGAAAACTGTGAATGTTACAAAACAACTGTGTTCAGACACTGAACAAAGGCAACTGCAAAACTGTGATGCCTAAGATAAGGGAAACAAATGAGATGAGCCCTACAATCACCTTGACTTCTGTGTGGATACAGACTATTATGGCAGAGGGAGAGAGAATCGAGCAAAGCACAGCAGTCCTGCTGAGTTAGAGAGAGATGGGAGTTTGGGGACAGCAGCTGGAATTTGTGGAGCAGAGGACAGGAAAAAGAGTTCTAGAAATCTGCTTAAGAATCTCCTTAGGTCTTTAGCTAAATACCAAGATTATTACAGCTATGCCTGAGTGGGTTCTTTCAAGCTTTAGAGGATGTAATTCAACATCTTTTGGCCATCTTTCCATTTCTAATTTCAAGTTGAAGTTGTTGGAGGGATGATTACCAGTCAAGAATTACTGAATTTATACATTTTGTAGGAATTTTCATTACATGTGTAAAGGGCAAGAGAAACCATAGTCCACTGATGGGGCTAAAAGTTCTGTATGGCTAGTTACAGCTGTAGAGTGGAATTGAAGGCAACAGGAGAGTGGTGGTGATAGGAGATTTACATGGGAATGTTTACTCTAGCTGTAGCGTGAAGAATGGACTGCAGAGAGGCAGGGCTATAGGCAGGAGAATCAGTTAAGAGGTTGCTGTGGTCCTGTTAATCCTTCTGTACCCAGCGGTACATACAGCAACAGTGAACTTTTTCAGCCTCAGGGGTTTACTGGGAAGCTGCTGTACCCTGACTGTGCAAGCTGCCACAGGGCAGGGACCTTTATGACTGTTTGAAACCAAAGAAATGGAGTGTGCCGCAAATTACTGTTTTTATAGGGTACTGTATGCCTATCTGAATTTTTGGTAGGAAAATAGAAATTTTCAAAATTATCTGTTACACATACGTACCAACAAACCCCGGTGGGAACTCTGGGGTATAATCAGTGGTACTTCATACGTTCCATTGAACACTTAAGGTAGGCTTGTGGGGGGGCAAGAAAAAAAAAATCCATATTACCTACCAAAAACTCAGATACACTAAATGATTCAGCATGTTTCCATTAATGAAAACATATGGTATCAACCAAAAATTCAAAGCAGAAAATAACTGGGTCACCAAAGGGTTACATTAAAGCTAACGAAAGCCTGAACAAACTAATGGCAGTTGGTTTACAAAAAAGCAGACTAGAAAATGTTTGGGAAGTAGTGTCACACAGTGCTGCGCTGCACCCACGGTGGAGCCATGGAGCTAGGCACCAAGATGACCTACCTGCAAGATTCAAAGTGGCATTAAAAGGCAACTGCAAGAATTAGGAGCTGAAGAACTTCCTAAATGCAGTAGATGGTGGTGGCTAACAAGAAAAGTCAGGAGAAAATGACAGGAAAACTGTCTACTTTTCTAGAGAACAACACAATTTCATTCACCATATAGCATCATGCTGTACTAGATAAACTTCTCTGTTACAACTAAACCTCCAAGTCTAAAGTCTTCTGATTACCAACATCTTTGATGTTAATACGCCTTCAAACAAGAGCAGTTTCAGTCAAGATGAGAAGCCACCCCTAGCAGTTTCTAGCACCACACCTGCAAAGAGATTCCAGTTTCCAGTAGTTGACAGGAGGAGAAAACTGCTTATGTCATCACTTACGATAATGGAACTACAACTTGACTAATGTCAACAGTGACACATCTGAGGGAGCCATCACCCTCTGATGTGACTGATATTAAGCCTGAATCAGATGATCTCACTGATGAAGACACCTCCATTTTTTAAGAATCTCTTATCTCAGAAAATATCTACAGTAACACATGTGGTTCTTCCTGTTCTTCTACTGTTATTAGCCATCTGCAAACTGAAATGTTCACAGTGGTGCTCATTTAAACAGGATGTAATTTCAACAGCAGCAAAAACAGTACTCATGCTGCCAAACAACTCGATACACAGAACCATCAGGCATATGATACATGACGTTTGTGAGAACCAGAAGTGCTGACAACCTAGAGGAGACTTACATAGTCCTCCTTCTTCAGAAACAGTTCAGGGAAAAATGGGTATTGAGGAAAAAATCATTAGAAAGAAAAGTTACCTGTGGTAAAGTTTCAGTTATTAAAATAAATAAATTCAACCATGATGGAGGAGGAAGACGATGACTATGGCTCCTCAACAAGAAGCCTCTCTAACAGTGTCAGTGCTCCTGAAACTTGAAGAAGACCTTTGCTTCCACCTTCTAAACAAGCCAACAAGAATCTAATCTCAAAGGCTACATCAGAAACAGACACTTCCAGTTATTCCCAGAACTCAAACTTCTCAAGAATTGCTAGCAGAGAAGGTACACGGGCAAAACCGAACCCACTGTTGTCAAGTCAATTCCAACTCATAGTGACCCTATCTATAAGACAGAGTAGCACTGCCCCACAGGGTTTCCAAGGTTGTAAACCTTTACAAAAGCATAACTGCCACATCCTCCTCCCTTGGAGTGGCTTGTGGGTTCGAACTGCTGACTTTATGGTTAGCAGCTGACTGCTCTAACCACTGTGACACCAGGGCTCCTCCAGGGGCAAAGCAGTACCCCATAAATAAGTCCTCCTATTAAGAAAGAGGAAACAAAAGATAATACAGAAAAGTCAGGAGCTCAACAAACGCAACTGCTTTGTCTACTGCAAGCTGAGCCAGTAATGGCAAAAACTGCAGTTAAGCTGAGATGAGTGAACTGAATGTGGCACAGAAACCAGAAAAACTTCTGAGGCACTGCAAGTACTGTCCTGCCTGTAAAAACGGGGACAAGCGTACTTACTACCACCCTGTTTCACCTTGGAAAGCCTTTCTCAATTGTAAATTTGCTGGAAAATGTTTGTTCACCCAAACTGTAAACATGATACAAAATATACTAAACAAGATTGTTTCTTCACTCCTATGAGAAGAATCCGAGTACTGCTTCCAAAACCAGCAGCTACAATGCTAGCACTACCTTCTAGTAAGTTAGCTGTCGGTTACTTCCCTGTTTGTAAGAAAATGGAATGTCTCTTCTATTAACCAGAACACTAGGTTTAACACTCCATGTACAGGACCCGACTGTATGTTTTACCATTCCACCATCACTGTACCATGGTTACATGCCATGAAATGGATCTGACCTCAAACAGCTGATAATACCTAGTCCTACCCGGCAGAAGATTATGGGTTTTAAAAGTTTCTATCTACTGATGGAAGATATTTTACAAAACTTGTCAAATCTTTGAAACTTGGGATACACTGCTTTTACTATGAAAAATAAGTAAAATTAACAAATGCCCTTTGTGATACTAAATACAGAAGAATGTCAAATTCTAAATTTTATGCTTGGTGACACTTTCACTTACTTTCCTTGCACTGGCCAGTATTTGCTGCAAGAGTTAACACTCAATTTCAAGACTATTTAGTCTAACTGGTTACCAGTAATATGTAATATTACTTGGTATACTTCTGAAACACAAAGTATAATTTTTCCTCTGATGTTTTTAAAACATATGTAACTGGCAACATAAAATGATTATACTATGTTAAGATCAACAAATACATGGCCACTATTCAGTGTAATACTTTATTTTCTATTGTATTAAACTAAAGCCAAGAAAATATCAAGTTAATTTTAAAGGCAAATCTTTACTTCTTAAAGAAAAAATACAAATGGTGGTATTTTTATAATAGATCATTATCTTTTACATAATATAAACAAAATCACTAACGTATCTAATATGCTTGGTTTCCTTAAACTACAATGAACCACAGAGTGGGTGGAAAACAGGATTACTTACTGGCGGCAAACAAACATCTTGGGGAAAATACACAGCATGCAATTTTTGTTTTTTTTTTACTGTCTACGGGTAGGTGCTCATATAACCAAGCTTTAATAGCCACCACCTCCTCTTCCTTGTCCAAAGTAGCCACCTCCAAAGCCCCCCCTGCCACCCCCTCTATGGAATCCCCCCGAGCCTCTGTAACCTCCTCCACCAGACCCTCTGTAGTCTCCTCCAGAACCTCCTCTATAGCTACCTCCTCTAAAGCCTCCACCACCACCTCCACCATATCCTCCCCGATAGGAGTTGGAGCCACCACCATAGCCGCCGCCACCGTAGCCTCCTCCACCACCTCCGTAGCCTCCACTACCATAGCCTCCACTGCCATAACCACCACCATAGCCTCCACCACTGTAACTAGAACCGCCCCGTCTATATCCACTTCCATTGTCATATCGGGCCATCTTGGGAGGACGTGGACCATCTCCATACCTGGAAAAAGCACAAAACCACCACTTTAGTAAATTAGTCTTAATACTTCTCAACTACTCACCAAATGTACACATTTAATCATACTTAAAATTTAATGCATAAAGGCAATGAAGCCAAATGCACGAATACAAGCTGAAATAAAACTGCTACTCCAAAACAGACACAGGAGAAAGGAACAACTGTAACCATCTGTTTTCTAAAGCTCTTTCTGATTCCTGCTCAAAGACTGTGAATTTTGGCAGTATGTCCTAACAACTTTAAGACACATCTCTTTCACTCAGTTAAACTATACAGCATTCTAGGAAAACAAGTATTAAATAATGTTAGGAATACTTTTGTCCTGGAAATGGCAATAAACTGTTTGGTCTGTATTTATTACCAAATATTTTTCTGCTTTAACTCTGAACTACATACTGCCTGTAATTTGTCTGCACCTGAATCTCTTTCATATGGCAAACAAAATGAGGGCTAATGAAAAATTACAGGTGTCAAGATGTCCCACCACCGAGTCCAACTCAACGCACTCCGAACCAGTTATTCCTCCTGTGCAGCTTCTCTTAGCGACTAGCACTACCAATTCAGCAGTTGCACAAGTTAGAAATAAGAGTCTCTTCTTTCCTCCACTGCACTGCTCCCACCCTGACTTTTAATTCATCATCAATTCCTATTGATTCTCTACAGTAAACCTGCCTCATCAATCTATTCACTTCTCCCCGTTCCAATTGTTTCTGCAGTAATTCAGGCCACCATCACATTCATACATGCTAAACTCTTTCGTATCTGACCCTTTCCAGTCCTAATGGCTTGCTTTAATCAACACCACCTCTCTGTATATAATAAATACTTATCTCTCATAGAGCAGATGATCTGTGAAGTCTCTCTCCTGCCAAAAACACTCCCGCTCCTAAACACTCATGGCACTGCATCTGTTTTATCTGCCATTGGACATTATCTTCTATCATTTATTCTCAATAATTCTTCTATACATCTGACCAGCTGGGAGGCCCACAGTACAGCATAATAAACATGAACACTGTTTCAGGAGCCATACTGCCTGAGTTTCAATTTGGCTCTACCATTTAGTTGTATGATCTTGGGCAGATATCTTGATTTGACTTAATATTTCTTTTTAGTTTCCTCATTTATGTTAAAAAGAATAATAACCTACCTACCTACTTCATTAAAGAGAACTAATATCAAAATAAGTTAGTATCAGAAAAGCACTTAGCATAGTGCCTGGCACACACTGAAAGTACTATGTTTGATAGAAGTTAAAAAGTTATTAATTCGGTTATAACCAAAGAGAAACCAGAATCCACATAGTACGCAGCACTTCTGATATTTTAAATTATAACAGTTTACAAGCAAATGCAATAAAGGACATTTTGGGAATAACTAGAAGGGTCTGAATATGCTTGCATATTAGTCTTTTCATAATCTTTGAGATATACAGTTGTCCACCTGTATTTTCTGCTTCTAGAGTTTACTGGGAAATTGCTTTCCTAGTAACAGTGCATGTTGCTAGCAGGCAGATACCTGTATCAGTTTGAAACAGAAAAAAAGGGCATGTGCCTCAAATCACTGTTTCTACAGGGTACTGAATGAAGTGGTGTTGAGTCAATGTTTTTGGTATGAAAAGTATAGATTTTGATAAAAGTTTTTTTTGGATATATATGTCCCACTGGATTTTGAGGGTAGGATTCGTGGGATTAGGCAAGAAAAAAATTCACAGTACCTACCAAAAATTCAAACACACTCAATGATTCAGTATGCATTCCCTTAATGAAAACACATGGTATCAACAAAAAATTCAAAGCAGAAAATAATTGGGTCTTGAAAGGGTTAGCTAATATTGTAACACTTCAATTTTTTGGGTATGATCATGGTATTATGGCTGTTCTTAGAAGATGTACAAACTATATTAATGTAAAATGTCATCATGTCTGCAACTTAATTCTAAATGATTAAGTAAAAGGAATAGGTGTCTATAGTATATATACGAAAGCAAGTGTCAAAAAATGTTGACAAATTAGTGAATCAAAGTACAGATTGTAGGTAACTGTACTACTTTTTGATTTTTCTGTAAGTATCAAGTATTTCTAAAGGAAGTTACACGGAAAAGAAAAATTTATTTTCACCAAAAAAAAAAAAAAAAAAAAAAAAAGTGTAAGAGTTAAATTTCACACTTCTTTGCTTTATTTAAGATAGCCATACTTTTCTATTTGGTAAGAGAAACCCTGATGATTTTCATTTGAGGAAGAAGTAACTTAACACCTCATCAACATTTTATTAAAGATGGCAAAACAATACAATGGAAGGAGGAATGTCTGGACTCCGTCATTTTAGTCACGTCAACCACTCTGGACTATTATGTGCCCTTAGGGTCTCTTTCTATCTGTAACATGCAATGATGTAATATACAGATTATTAATACAGAGACAAAAGGAAATGCGACTCTTTTGTTCTGGGTGTTTATCAGTACGTTAGTCTCCAACTTATGATGTATTCAAGTAATGACAAATTGCACTGATGAGTATCCATTGTTTTCTCCATCTTATCGTTAGTAATATGTATTTATATACAATGTTGCAGCGCATTAATTTGCTGATGTTATCATTCTCATGCAAACACCCAAAGACAAATAAAGCCTGGATTTATAAAGACACTGATAATGATAATAAAAGGTAATAATAAAGAAAACTTTAGAACAAAAAAAACCAAGGTAGTCGACTTGTATCAAGAACTGACTTACCACGGTGTCACTGGAATGGAGCCCCCATAAGTCAGGGACTACCTGTACTAAATTCCATATTCAGTTTTTGTCCAGAATTTTAACTTAAAAAACTAGGGCTCTATCAACTAACTGAGAATTCTAGGCCTGTGTAAGATTATTGTTTTCTGCTTGCTTCAAAGAGAAATTAACGTAGCACTCACCGTACACTACCAATCATAAGGGTGATGCCAGCAGCCGAGGGCCTAGAGATTTGGCGGATCATGTTGAGCATTCGTTCATTTGCAGGGTCCAACTGGCTGATGATGTCAGGCTGTTTGGTTACTTCAACAACCAGAGCCTCCATAGCTGCCCGGAGAGCAGTGATGCAGGCAGCAGCTTCATGGGATATTTGCAGTCTGATCCTGAAGAAGAAATACAATAAAAAATGAGAGGGATACATACGGAAAAAAATTATTACCTCTCAATTTCACACACAGCAAGTGATGGAATAAATTTTAACTCCTTACCAAGAATCAGTATTTTCAACTACTGGAAGGGCCTCACTTAGGCAAACACAGTATGAAGAATAACTGTATTTTGCACCAACCTCTTAAAATTTACTGCTAACTATTAGCAGGCTTCTTGAACTACTAAGTCTACCAAGCACAATACTGACAACAAGGAGTTTTCAAGGCTTTCAAGAATATGGCTGACAGGCCCTGATGGTTTCACTGAAGAATTCTACCAGACTTTCAGGGAAGAGTTAACACTACTACTGCTAAAGGTATTTCAGAGCACAGAAAAGAATGGAATACTCCCAAACTCATTCTATGAAGCCAGCATAACCCTGACACCAAAACCAGGTAAAGACACCACAGAAAAAGAAAATTACAGACAAATAAGCCTCATGAACATAGATGCAAAAATCCTCAACAAAACTCTAGCCAATAGAATTCAACAACATATCAAAAAAATAATTCACTATGACCAAGTGGGATTCATACCAGGTATGCAAGGATGTGTCAACATTAGAAAAACAATCAATGCAATTAATCCATTACATAAATAAACAAAACACAAGAACCACATGATCTTAGCAACTGACGCAGAAAAGGCATTTGACAAAGTACAATACCCATTCATGAAAAAAACTCTCAGCAAAACAGAATAGAAGGGAAATTCCTCAACATAATTAAGGGCATTTATATAAAGCCCACAGCCAATATCATCCTAAATGCAGAGAGCATGAAAGCATTCCCTTTGAGAACGGGAACCAGACAAGGATGACCTTTATCACCACTCTTTCTCAATACTGTATTAGAGGTCCTAACCAGAGCAAATAGGCTAGAAAAAGAAAGAGCATCCAAACTGGTAAGGAAGAAGTATCCCTATTTGTGGATGATATGATCTTCTACACAGAAAGCCCCAAAGAATTCACAAGAAAACTACTGGAACTAACAGATTTAAGGAAAGTATCAGGGAAACAAGATAAACATACAAAAAACAGTTGGATTCATCTATACCAACAAAAAGAACTTTGAAGAGGAAATCATCAAATCAAGACCATTTACAACAGACCCCAAAAGGATAAAATACTTCGGAATAAATCTAACCATAGATGTAAAACACCTATACAAAGAAAAACTACAAGACACTACCGCAAGAAACCAAAACAGACCTACGTAAGTGGAAAAACATACCTTGCTCACGGATAGAAGACTCAACATTGTGAAAATATCAGTTCTACCCAAAGCGATCTACACATACGGTGCAGTCCCGATCCAAATTCCAACATTTTTTAATGAGATGGAGAAACAAATCACCAACTTTATTTGGAAAGGGAAGAGGCCCGGGGTTTAAGTAAAGCATTACTGAAAAAGAACAAAGTGGGAGGCCTCACACTACCTGATTTTAGAACCTGTTATATGGCCACGGTAGTCAAAACAGGCTGGTACTGGTACAACAACAGATACAAAGACCAATGGAACAGAACTGAGAATCCAGATGTAAATTCATCCACCTATCAGCAGCTGATATTTAACAAAGGTCCAAAGTCTGTTAAATGGGGAAAAGACAGTCCCTTTAACAAATGGTGCTGGCGCAACCAGATATCCCATCCGTAAAAAAATGAAACAAGACCCATACCTCACACCATTCACAAAAACTAACTCACAATGGATCAAAAACCTACATATAAAATCTAAAATGATAAAGATCATGGAAGAAAAAATAGGGACAACGCTAGGAGCCCTAATACATGGCATAAACACAATATGAACCATAAGTAACAATGCACAAGCACCAGAAGAGAGACTAGGTAACTGGGAGCTCCTAAAAATCAAACACTTACGCTCATCAAAAGTCCTCACCAAAACAGTAAAAACAACCTACAGACTGGGATAACATTTTTGGCTACGACAAATCCGATCAGTGTCTAATCTCTAAAATCTACAAAATACTGCAAAACCTCAACAACAAAAAGACAAATAACCCATTTAAAAAATGGCCAAAGGAAATGAAGAGGCACTTCGCCAAACAAGATATTTAGGTGGGTAACAGCCACATGAAGAAATGCTCACGATCATTAGTCATTAGAGAAATGCAGATCAAAACTACAATGAGAGATCATCTCACCCTAACAAGGCTAGCATTAATCCAAAAAACACAAAATAATAAATGCTGGAAAGGTTGTGGACAAACTGGACCACTTACACACTACTGGTGGGAAATGTAAAATGGTATAACTACTTGGAAATCGATTTGGCACTTCCTTAAAAAGCTAGAAATAGAAATACCATATGACCCAGCAATCCCACTCCATGGAATACATCCCAGAGAAATAATAGAGCCTTCACACGAATAGATATATGCACACCCATGTTCACTGTAGCACTGCTCATAATAGCAAAAAGATGGGTAGCAACCTAGGTGCCCATCAACGGACGAATGGACAAATTATAGTATATTCACACAATGGAATACTATGCAATGATAAAGAACAACGATCAATCCAGGAGACACCTGTAACATGGATGAATCCGGACGGCATTATGCTGAGTGAAATTAGTTGCAAACGGACAAACGTTGTATGAGATCACTATTATAAGAACTCAAGAAAAGGTTTAAATACAGAAAAAAAACATTCTTTGATGGTTACGGGGGTAGGGAGGTAGGGAGAGGGGAATTCACCAACTAGATAGTAGACAAAAATTCTCTTAGTTGAAGGAAAGGAAAAAACACAATACAGGGGAAGTCAGCACAACTGGACTAAACCAAAGCTAAGAAGTTTCCTGAATACAACCAAACACTTCGAGGGAAAGAGTAGCAGGGGCGAGGGTCGGGGGACCATGGTTTCAGGGGACATCTAGGTCAACTGGCATAACAAGGCTTATTAAGAAAATGTTCTGCATTTGGTGTGTCTGGGGACTGAAAAGCTAGCAAGCGGCCATCTAAGATGCATCAATTGGTCCCAACCCACCTGGAGCAAAGGAGAATGAAGAACACAAGAGACACAAGGAAAATATTAGCCCAAGAAAACAAAAAGGGCCACATAAACCAGAGACTGCATCATCCTGAGACCAGAAGAACTAGATGGTGCCCAGCTACCACCAATGACTGCCCTGAGAGGGAACACATCAGAGAGTTCCTGATGCAGCAGGAGAAAGGTGGGGTGCAGAACTCAAATTCTAGTAAGAAGACCAGACTTAATGATCTGACTGAGATGGGGAAGAACCCCAGAAGACATGGCTCCCAGACTCTGTTAACCCAAAACTAAAAACATTCCCGAAGCCAACTCTTCAAACAAAATAGACTGGACTATAAGACATAAAATGATACTTGCAAAGTGTGTTCTTCTTAGTTCAAGCAGACGTATGAGACTAAACAGGCAGCTCCTGTCCAGAGGCGAGATTGGAAGGCAGAAAGGGACAGGAGCTGGTTGAATGGACACAGCAAATCCAGGGTGGAAAGGAGGAGCGTGCTGACACATTACAGGGAGAGGAACTAAGGTCACATAACAATGTGTGTATAAATTTTTGTATGACAAACTAACCTGAGCTGTAAACTTTCACTTAAAAGCACAATAAAAAAAATAAACATTAGAAAAAATAGAATATGGCTGAACCTACTAACTGTTCATTAAGTTTATTCCATTTTTGCTAAGTGCTTATTACTATGTGCTTACCACTAGTCTCTAATCAATATGTAGAGTATGTGAACAGTGGTACCTAGGTGCTCATAAAACTCTCATTTCATAGGGTAATAATGATGGTGGGAGATCACATCCCTAAGGTATTTGTTTCTATAGGTATAGTCAATTTAAGAACTTAGTTTACAGTAAACCATACCACCAAGATTTACTTGTCTCCAAGAAAAGAAAATGTTATAAAGCACCTTATTTGTGCCAGCAAACTTTGCCATGTTTGCTTTACAAATTAAATCAGGTTAGCACATGAACGCCATCACATCTCAATTTTAAAAAGGGTTCAGTTTGGAGTTCACATCTGAAAGTCCATACCAGTCATCTACAAGCACAAGCTGCCCATCAGATTGGACTTTCTTGGAGGCGAAGAGTAGCAACTGCAGAGGGGTCACCAAGGTCATGCCTTTAGCAGAGATGGCTCGGGTTCGAATCTGTAGATGGAGAAAGAGGCAAGAGGAAATAGTTGAGATTCCAAATGCCAAAAAAATGCCATATAATGACAATGAAACATACTTTGAAAATTAAAACTCATGTTCCCACTGATTGAAAAGGTAACTTGGGTTTTTAATGTAAACTTCCCTCATTTTTTCTTACCTTTTCACCAAATACAAAGAAGGGACAAGGGTACTTCATGTCCTGGCTGCTAAAGGGACAATTAACAGAAGACTTGTGGATAAGTGCATTACGTCCTTCAGTGGTGAGAATCTTTCTCTTTTCCTTATGATAGCACACATTGGGATATACACCAAAGGCCAGGAGAGAGATAACAACATCCAAATTATTATCTGGTCCAGTGTTAGTAAACACTTGTGTCAGCAAACATTCTGTACGGAGCAATGAGACACAGAGATTAGATAACTGCCTAACCCTCATATTATATTCCAAGTAAACACAATACTAAAATATGCATAAGCTTCGGGTGATTACTTCTAAGCAATCTCCAAAAAAACCAGCTACTCTCAGAATAAGAACTAGACTGATAGAACTACAGTCAAATATTCCATTTTAGTTTTCTCAAATAGTTGCTACTTCTAGAAAAAATGGAGTAACAATCCAAGGGGGCACCCACTGGAAGAGGGCTGATGTTTTTACCCAGACTATACCTTGAGATTTTATCATTTATTGGAAATCATGAAGTGCTAAGAGCATGGGATACATTCTGTTCTAAACAAAGAATGAGTTTAGACAAATGACTCAAACTTGTTTCTTGATTTATAAAATGGAATAATATTATCACATTTATCACACTTATCACAACATCTCAGGATTGTTGTGAAGATTCTAAACCAACAACAACGAAAAAACCAAACCCACTGCTGTCGAGTCGATTCCAACTCATAGCGATCCTATACGACAGAGTAGAACTGCCCCATAGGGTTTCCAAGGCTGTAAATGTTTACGGAAGCAGACCGCCACATCTTTCTCCCATGGAGCAGTTGGTGGGTTTGAACCGTTGACCTTTCAGTTACCAGCTGAATGCTTAACCGTGCGCCACTAGGGCTCCTGTAAAGATTCCTGCACATAAAAAACTGCTTTCTCCTTCCTTTGATTTTGAGAACAGTTAAACTTCAGTTTGCAACAGTGTTTAAAAAGAAAGGGAACAAATAACTTTTATTTAGATCATCTTCCTTTAAAATCTATCATCTTGCCCAACTATCTTGTATCTCTCAACTAAACTAGCCCTGTTTTTGGTAACATGTTCCAGCTCTTAATGTTTTAGAAAATAATTCTGCCTTTTAATCTCGTTTAAGAAGAAAAATACTATAGCTCAACTTTATATCAAGAAATGAAGAGTTGGATCATTGTGTCCGAATCACCTATATCATAAAGTCCTTTGTAATTGTCTGTACACTCAAAGTTTAAATAAAAGCCATTTAAAATGTAAGGTAAAAGAATTTATAATAAGCCTAAAAATGAACATACAGGTAGACTGATGAACCACTTCTTAAACCACTATATGAGGCTCTTCAACCTCAAACTGCTCATTTTACAGGTTCTAAAAGCTAGACCACTGTTCTTCACAAAATAAAAAGAGGTAAATAACACCTTGATCAAAACAGAATAATTCTTAAAACAGCTATTACCTGTGCACTACATTACAACATTACAATTACTTTGCCTTTCAGCATCATACTTTTTGCTTCCTTTATTAAAGACTGAATTCATATGAAAATACTGAAGTCACAATGCTTCAAAGAACTAAGAAATAGCTGGGAACATAGAGAAAGCATCAGGTATAAAGTTTGAAGCTAAAATGTATCATTATCCATTTGCAACTACTATATAAATATCAATTCTGATATACCTGAAAAATGTGAAGACTCTTACCTTCTGGAAATCCAGAATTAATCAGAATCTCTTTGAGCTGAACTTTGGCTTCCCAAGTCATTCTTAGTGTAGCCATATTGAGTCTTTTGTGCTCACAAAAACGTATCTCTGCCTCTTCTCCACCCATTCTAAAATAAATATGCATGATACGGAGTCATTCTCAAAGATCAAGTAACTAGATACAGATTAGAAAACTAGGGATGGTACACCCAAATCTTACAATAACTCTTTGAAGCCCATACCTAGCATCATCCCAGGCCTGGAATACTGATAAAAGGGCCACATGATCAGAAAATCTGTTTCCAGCAAAATTTCGATGGATATAACCCAGTCGCTTTCCTTCACTGATGAAAGGCTCTGGAAAGCAGGTGGCAGCAGAGATGGTACAGACAGCATCTCCCACACTGAAACAAACACAGACAGTTAAATCCAGACTAGATGATCATTTTGTCAGCAACTGGAGCAATACTGTCAATGGTGGGCAGGAGTCTTTTAATTCATTATGATACCGCTTCTGTCAGCACTGAAATTGGCTTGAGACCTCTAAAGCTGCTCTCTCCAGAAGCAGAAAGAGAAAGAAAACAATGAACTCTGATATTATCAGCTGCATATTTACCTTAAACCATGACAAAGTACTATATTTTTCCTTTCATAATCTCTCTTCTTCATATTACCAAATCTCTTAATCTTCAAAACTTTCTGATAAAATATTCCTCTTTTCCTAATGCTATTCTCTTTCGAGGGAGAACTAAACTTACCTACTGGAATGAAATGTACCTCTCGTTTGAGAAATCTGTGCTCTTTCTCCCAGTAAGGTAGGCCCAGAAGTCCATCTACTGGAACTGCTCATTCTTCTCATGTTGGGATTCTTCTCTCGTTAGCTAGATATGCTATTTCTCTCTACTTAAAAATATTTAGTTTTTTCTTCTGAGCCTAGTTTTTTGAATTGGGGTGGGGGTGGCGGTGGGGAAGAAGATTCTGAAGTTATTCTACTATTTAGCTATCAGCGATAAAACAAAGCACTTACTAGAAAATACACCCCATTATCATCATTTTGCCAAAACGAGGCTCAATGGGGAGTTTAGCCAGGATCCGTCCCAGAGGAGTCAACTCATCATTGGCATCTAACGCATCAAGCTCTGTGGGGAGATATTTCTTTGTGAGTAAAAACAGTAATGACTACCCGTTTAACCTAGGCAAAGATGAAACATTTCTTTGTAGATTAAGGTTAGGATAGTGCTCATCATTTGTCAAGGCAACTGCCAACACCACGCCCACAGCCAACAATTCTCTTCACTCAAAAATACAACAAAACAAAACCAATTTCTGGAGCACCTAACATGAAGGTACCAGAAGCAGACCCTGCAAGTTATAATGCTGAATACAGTATAAAACCAATAACAACTATGACAGCAGCATAAGTATATACATGTAAGTCTTAAAAGCATCTTTTGATTTTTAGAGAGAAAAATGAAACTTGGAGAAAAGCCTGAAGTTCACATAACAGGTGAATATCAGATTCATAATTTGAATTCAGATCCAACTGGCTCCAAAGCCCTTATTTTTCTCTATTATGCTATACTGCTAATGTAATACAGCTGATAAGAAAACATTAATAGGTATTCTAAAAGATGTGCATAAAATATTGTGGGTGTCATGAGTAATCGATATTCTGATTTTTAAGTACTGGTTAAGAGATGACACCATGCTTTCGCCTCTTAATTTTTTCCCCCCCAAAGTAAGACTCATGTTATCCCTTCTTCCCTCATGTTGCTCATTACAATACTGACCATACTAAGTATATAAAGCAACACTGGAAGCCTTATTATCACATCCCTGTTGACTATACCTTCTTGATTCATTTGTTAAGTATTACTTGCCAGGACAAGACAGATGGTATAATTAACATTTGTGTTAAGTAGGTCTGTATTTGCAGGTACCTCTGAGAGTGTGCTCTGCTTCAATGACAGCATCCAAAGGTGGAGGTTCAATGGCCTTGGCCAGGAACTGACCAATTCCTCCCAGACGAAGAAGTTTTATGCTCAAAGCAATTTCATGCAATGGTGTTCGGAACATCTCTGGTGTCATGTGGGTTTCAAGTCTAAGAGAAAACAAACATAAAATAACCATCCTTCTTGTGTGTAGACAGATGTTTAGTAAAATCTTTGCAGAGAGATAACCACGGATACAGAGCTGCCCTTCCCTTTTAAAATTCACTACAAAGACACTCTTGACAAGACCCTCTTAACTGCTACAGTAGTAGTGTCTGACCTTACCCTTACAGCTTGATAGCATTTTCAGCTGAGGGACACTTAACCAAAAAACAAAACCCGCTGCTGTCGAGTCAATTCCAACTCATAGGGACCCTACAGGACACAGAAGTGCCTGGTACATTCAAACTGACGACCTTTTGGTTAGCAGCCGAGCTCTTAACCACTAGGCTGAGGAACAGTTAGGAAGATGGATAAATTATCCCAAAATCCTAATGTATGTACCCCCATCTATGGCTTCTTTAGGTCTAGTCTGTTGACAAATGTGTGTTAAAAATGCTAGCAAGATGTTTTGTGGGACAGCCTCCTCTAACCTGACACCAGAAGAAATAGATGGTGCCTGGCTACCACTACCGACCACTCTGACTGGGATCATAACAGAAGGGTCTCAGTTAGAATGGGTTAAAAAACATAGAACAAAATTAAAGAAACAAAAAAAACCACCAGACTTACTGGTCTCAAAGAGACTGGAGGAACCTGAGACTACTGCCCTAAGACAACCTTCTAACTTGAAAATGAAGACACTCAAGGTGGCCAACTTTCAGTCAAATAATAGACAGGGGTATAAAATAAACAGTAACACCCGTGAAGAATGTGCTCCTTAGAATGATCAATAATACGACACCTAAAGGGCAACATTTGCCCAAAACCAAAGATGAGAAGGCAGGGAGGAAGAGGGAAAGCGGACTAATGGAAATGGAGAACCCAGGGAGGAAATGGGGAGAGTGCTGCCACACTGTGGGCATTGCAACCAATGTCACGGAATAATTAGTGAAGAATTACTGATTGGAAAACTAATTTGCTATGTAAACTTTCACCTAAAGCACAATAAAATGTTCAAAAAACAGTTTTGTGGGAGATGGAGGCTAATACAAACATCTCCCCACACCTCTCTTCCTTGACCAGAAATCTTAGTGTCATTGGAAAGGATCTTACAAATTATCTAACCCATCAAAAATTTAATAATAAAAATTATTATTATAACATTAACAGTGATAACAGGTAACATTTCCTAAGAGCTTAATATGTGTCAGACACAGTATTCTAAGTATTTTACATTATTAATTCATTTAATTCTCACACCAATTCTATGAGTTACATATCACCATCTTCCTTTTATAACTAAAGAAACAGAGAGGATAAGAACAAACTCATTTTATAGAAATTCTATAGAATTTTGTAGAATGAGGCTTAACGACTGTAAAAGATTAGGTTCTATAATGTAATAGATACAAATCCAAGTCTTTACATTTCTAATTCAGGCTTATTCCCTACAAACCATTCATAGTGAAGATTCGTGGGAATCATTTACAGGTGATTTCAACACTGCTGGCAGGTCTTAGCCCAGCTTAAATCAGGTTTACATATAAGTACGTATCATATCTGTTTCCCACCCTATAGAAAAAAGAACAAAATCCCCTATTAAAGGTCTATTTATGCTGTTGCTAATATTAATAGGTGATTTTACTGTAAGCTTGTTAAGAGTACAGTACTTATTTCTTCAGTTTAAGGGCCAACCGGAAGTTTAAAAACAACTATGGACCTTCCAAATGTTAACAGCCAGTCTACTGAGTTAATTTCTGATGCTCACATAAACCTACACTGATACAATTAAATGGGAGCCACATTTTACCAGTGTAAAAGCAAATCAAAGTTTCCTTGACACTTCTTCAGCATATTTTATATATCTGGTCACCTAACCTAGTCTGTCCCACATTTTATTGTAATAAACACACACACAAACCCCACTCTACCTTTATTATCATCAACTGGTTAATTCTGATGTGTACCACGTGAACTTCAACATTCAACTAAATACCTATCTTAAACATGTAAGTCAGAGAGATGGACGTTTTTCACCATTAGGTTCCATACACAAACATTCCCAAAAAAGCCATGTAGCGTAAATGAAATTGGACAGGGAATTCAGAGACTTGGATTTCAGTCTCGGCTCTGGTATAGTCTAATTAATGATTAAGTCAGCTAAACCTTCCAAGTTTTAGTTTCATTATCCAAATAAGGCCCACAGGGATGTGATAAGGATCATATCAGGAGATGATGTGATGACACTGAACAAAAGAAATATTCTATCAGTACAAAGGTATCATTATTTTTAACTTAAATTTTCATAAAATAAACCATTCCTCAAGCATCAGTAATCCCAAAATGATAAAGCTATGTGAAGCCAAAATAGTATCTGTATGTTATCCTTCAAAAAAAGTATTAGTTATCAGAAAACTGGAATTAAACACGCCACCGAGTGACAATTTCTGATTTTTCATTCTTATGACACAATTTTACTATCTACATTAAACTTCCTCCAATCATACTTAACTGGAGGCATTTATGTCCTGAGTTAAGTCCATAGCGGGACAGAGAGGGAGAGAGAATGTGTAAAGGGGTTTAAAAAAGAAAAACAACAAACTTCAATCTTTATTCAAGAATTAGTCTTACCTCTCCACCAAAGTTTATTAGTGGTTAGCAGGAGGGAGAGGGGGGATTCAGCAGACTTGGAAAAACTGCACTGAACAAGGGTAGGGTTGCCCAACCGGTTATTGTGTAATAGTTGTCAATGTCGGTAAGTTGTACACTTGTAAAAAGTTGAATTGACAAAAGTTGTGTGATAGATGTATTTACGACGAGGAAAAAAAAACACTAACAGCTGAGGTTGCTTAAGTACAACCAAAAACCTCATGAGATTTGGTTCTCTGGTTTGAAGGTTTAGGGTCATGGTTTCATGGCACACCCCAGTTAAATGGCCTAATAACATGTTTAGTGTTTCTGCTCTACCTCCTACTTCGTTGAGTAGTGCCTGGGTATTAAAAGCTTGCAAGCGGCCACCTGAAGGCACGAGGATTGGTCTCCATTTGCCTGGAGCAACAGAGGAAGGAGAGTCAGGAATAGGAGGAGAATATGGAATGTGTGGCCAATTGCCTCCATGAACAACCACCTCCTATGCCATGAAACCAAAAGAGCTGGATAGTGCCCGGCTACCACTACTGAACATTATGATCTAAGATTCTATAGAAGAATCCTGATCAAAAAGGGTAAAATGCAGAACAGGATTTCAAATTCTCATGGACTCCAGACTTTCTGAAACCATGGAGGTTAGATAAACCCCTGAAACTACTGCCCTGGGGTAACCTTTAAACCAAAAATATTCCCTGAAGTCTTCTTAAAACCAAACAGTAGTCTACTTAACTAGTAAAAGACATCTGCCTTAAACATTACGTTCTTTTAAGAACTATCTATATGGGATCAAAGTGACAACAGCAACTTGAAAGATTAGATAGGAACCTTAGGAGGCAGTGAGTTTATGTTAATGGGGAAGGAACAACTCAGAAAAGGAAGGTGAGGATGGATGTACAACTCAAAGAACACAGTGTCACTGACTTGTACATGTAGAAGCTGTTGAACTGGTGTATGTTTTGTTGTGTATATTCTCAACAGTAGTAATAACAACAACAAAAAGGTTAAAAAATAATAATTAGTCTTACCTCTCAAAACGAGCTCGGCTGCAGAGGTGAAAGCAGAATCCAGGCCGTACACGGCCTGCTCGCCCTTTCCGCTGCTCAAGGTTTGTTTTGGATGCCCATACCGTAGCATAGTTGGTCATGTTGTTGTGAGCAGTAAACAGCTTAACTTTCTGCCTGAATAGGAATGAAGGGTTACTTCTAAAGCCAATACGGACTACCAATAACATCTATTAAGTTTTCAACAAGTAATGGATGCTTTTCAGATAGCCATTCCTACTTCTGATGCCTAATGTGAAGAGCACAAATAAGAATCAGCAATTTGCCTATGCACCCACTCTCCTGTCAACTAAAAGGCAATATAACATACATGTGCCAGTTACCAGCTGGATGACGCAGGCCAAGTTACATAATTTCTCTGTGCCTCATTTTCCTCATCTGAAAATGAGACAATACTGCTACCTATACTTCATAGGTTTTTTATAAACATTAAGTGAATAAATGTAAAGCATTTAAAACAGGACCTGGGACATACGTGTAAGCAAGTGGTAATTAGCTAAGTCATCTTTACTCTCTATTCCCTAAAGGTTATCTGCTAACCTGGAATATGTGCAGCACCTGACACAACACCGCACCTCACCAAGCAGTGCCTGCATGGTCCTTCTGAATGACTAAGCAACCTAAGAATCTTTCAATTTTACATATAAGCAGCTGCTACTGATTGGCATTGGCCCAAAAGAGCTGAATGCTATTCATCATTCCCTAAGGTGGGCACTGGGAAATTTTTCTCAATTCCCAGGATAGACTGAAGAACTATGGACAGAAGACATGGGGCACAAGCTGGCCAGATATAACCAAGTTTGCTGTCCTTTCTGCGTATCAACTACCATATAATTATTTATATACAATGCCTCCCTGTGTATCTGCCAGGATCATTTCACACCAAACACAAAGTCCTTTAATTCTTAAATGAGTGGCCTGCAGTAGGACATCTGTCATGCGCTGAAACATCTGCATGCTATCATATGGCAGTGATCAACAGAAATACCCAATGGGAAATCAGCAGAATACCAGCAGACAGAAACAGTAGGGAAGTCAGAAGTTAGTCACCTTCTATCATGATAACTGATTTGTTGTGATCAACAGAATTACTCAGAATTATTAATTAGCTCATAATCTGGTATATACAGATGCACTATAATTTTGAAGGTGTAAGAAATAAGGTGTTTTTGATTGTGTCAACTGGTATCTAAGGTAAGAAGTTTCTAGTTGGTAAGACAACACTCAAAAGATTTATTCTAGGCAACAGGTTCCCTGGGAACTTACTTGCAGGAATCAATGACATAAACAACATCATTTATAGTAATGCTTGTCTCGGCAATATTTGTGGACAAAATAACCTGTGAAGAAATGACACAAGAAAAACTGAAATTTAGAAAATATTCCTATTATGTACTTGAAAGGACTGATTTGCTTATGCAACAAATGACAAAAGAATTACAGAAGCCTTAAACAATCACTCATACAGAACTGGATAATAAAAAACCTACTAAGCTCAGGGAAAGATGACTCCTTTTTTCCTTCTCAATATAGATGAGCTTTCCCTCCTCAACTTTTTTGGTTGCTTTTGACGAGCTGTAACATTTGTTGAGTATCTACGTCACTTCCCACCCCTCAATAGTAATGGTTAATAGTTACCTTGGTTACTCCCACTGGTACTGGATCAAACACTTTGCGCTGTTCCTCTCGGGGAATCTGAGAATGCAGAGGGAGAATCTGATACCGATGGCTCCCTAAAATACAGAAAGGTTAAGGACTAAAAATAGGATACTGGTTTAAAAATCACTCTTCATTATGTACATTTTACTGAGAAAATAGAGACAACACTAAATTTTCTGTATTTTCACACGTTGGCTATGGTACAAGGAAAATTATTATTTCCACTCTCAAATATGTGAGAATTCAAAGACTCATACCAAAATGTGCATTCATTTCCAAATGCTTCTGCATAGTATAAATGAGATTCCAGCCAGGCAGAAAAACCAACACAGCTCCAGGAACATTAAGAGTCTCGATGTACTTAAGCAGAGCCTCGATGAGTTCAAAAGGAGTTTCTTTTTCATTCAACTGAGCCATGCTCATCCTTGTTTCTGGACCATATTCATCACCACAGATCAGGTTGCAATTTGCCTGCAAAAAGTATGGAGCTAGGTCATGAGATAACTCTTCTAGATGTAGCCTTAATGTTCAAATGACACCTAACGTCCTTATTAATTACAGCAGATTTATCATATACTGATACACAGAATGTAATTTCTGAAGACGTAGAACCTACTGCACAATTTATACTTAGTTTTTCTAATATGAACTATACCTATATTTAACATATAAATAATTAAATCTGAATTATTATTTTATGAAGTTGCTGTCAAGTAGACATGGATTCATGCTGACCTTATGTACAACAGAACAAGATGTTGCCCAATCTGATCATCAGCATGTTGAAGTCTAGCGCTGTAGCTATTGTGCCGATCTATCTTGCTGAGGGTCTTTCTTGCCCTCGTTGTCCCTCTACTTCACGAAACATAATGTCCGCTGGTAACTGATCCCACCTGATGGCACGTCCACAGCAAGTGAGTTGGACAATATTCTGTTGTAATTCATAAGATTTTTACTGGCTAATTTTCAGAAGGGGATCACCAGGCCTTTCTTTCTACTCTATTTTAGCCTACAAGTTTATTTTATTTTATTGTACTTCAGGTGAAGGCTTACAGAACAAATAGTTTCTCATGAAACAGCAGTACACATGTTGTTTTATGACACTGGTTAACAACCCAACATATTAACCCTCTAAATTCTCAACCTTTTTTTTTTTGGTAAAAATACACATAGCCAAAGAGACATCGTTTCAAAAATTTCTACATACACAGTTCAGTGACATTGACTATGCTCTTCCAATTATGCTGTTATTCTCACTTAAGGTGAAGGCTTACAGAACAAAATAGTTTCTCATTTAACAGTTACTACAAATGTTGCCCTATGACAATGGTTAACAATCTCACAACACATCAAC